CGCAAACAGAAACCGCGACCTGCACGTGCTTGTCTGAAGCAACCTTTTACTGTCTATGGAAGCAACATGTCTGCGGTGTGGACGTATTTCAGTATATCTGAACCCGCGAGGAGACGGAAGCCTTGTTTATACTTTCGCCTGCCTCTGCAGCGCGAGTCTCCACAGACAGCGCGCGTAACGTTACCTCTCCAAACGGTCGAGGCGTTTATACTTGACGCGCTCGCCGTTGTACTATTCTTTGAAACGACAGGGGACGACTCAAGTAACTGTCCTCTAACCATCAGGAATCGGTGAGAAGAAAGATAAACACGTGACAATGTTTATTTTTTAGTAGCCTACCACCACCAATACAAAAATAATCATGTAAAACCCAGTAAACCCTGAGATTATTACTTGTGACATTACAACAAAATATGTATAGGAATATGTACTAAATTAACGCTCTCTTAAATATTTTCTAATTTCACTAAACATATTTCATTAAGTTTCGTGTACATTTGTATTAAACATGGACCTTTGTTCATTAAAAAGGCTTTTTATGCTAGTGTATGCTCATTTTTAAAATGTAATCAACTAATTTAGACGTGCAAACTGGGTGCTGGTGTGATGAGAAGTTCGTGCTCGGCTTTGTTTTTATGAGAGAACATTTAATTTTAAAACCTTTCTGCAGGCCAGCAGATTATTATTTAATGTACACATGAGTGGGGTCAAGTTAAACATTTTAGTTTGAATTTTATTTTATACTGTGCATTGTGCTAAATACATATTTGCATAATTTGTAATTGATTTATTCTTTGAAAATGTTAATTTATGCAATTGCAATGCCTTGATTTTAGTATTAAGTTTGTACACAGTCATAACCATAAATGCAATGGTACTTATAATTGGCATAATTTCTTTCGGTGTTTCGGTTTTCGGTTTTTCGGCCTTGGGTTCCTCTTTTTCGGTTTTCGGTTTCAGCCAAGAATTTTCATTTCGGTGGATCCCTAATTTTTTCTGAATTAGCTGTCCAACAGTTTGAGTCCCAAAAACATCGTAAAAGTGTGTGAATTTAGTGATTTTTATTTTTTTAAAAACGAAGAACTGAGGCACATGTCAGCATGATTGTTGTTGAGGGTGGAGCAAAGTTTTGTTTTGTTTTTTAATAAACTTTGCTTTAATTTACTATCCCAGCCTATTTGATTTTTTTTTTTTTATCAGAGTGGTCTATAGTCTTTATCACAAACTAAAACTGTTAAGTTAAAAGTATCACTGTAAATGGTTACAGCTTGAAGTGGCGGTGAGGTATTACAAAATATTGAGAAGGTCTTGAAAAAGTCTTGAAAAGGTATTAAAATTAACTTCAAGATTCCTGCATATACCCTGATTATGCTGCCCATTGTTTCTCTGTAACTATTTACAAAGTCGGTGCAGTATGATGCAGTGTTTCAGCCTTTGGTATGTCATAATTTAAACTTTGTGTGCCAATTTTGTGTTGACTTTGTGGCGTAAATGGGATTCCACAGTTCTGCACAATTCTACTCTGTTTCTCTCTATTATACTCTATTCTAATTTCCTTCACTCTGTCCTACTCCACTATGTTGTATTCTACTTCACTACTGTGCTCCTTGCCACTCTATTATGTTCAGTTATGCTCCATTTTACTCTTCCACACAGACCTGCGCAAACAGGAGGAGACGGGGGAGCTCACACTGCCGGTTCTCTTTGTGCTGATGGTCCTGGTGTCCGTGTTGCTGTACTTTGCGGTTTCACTCATGGATCCTGGTTTTGTCTTGTCTGATGACTGTGATTTGCAGGTCAGTAAATATAGGGATTCTCAAACTTTTTGGTCATCCAAACTCCTGTGACCTGAAATATTTACTTGAAGTATCCCCTGCAATTTTAAGTTAATATTATAATAATTTAATAATATGTCGGTTAAAGCTACAATATCAAAGTCAAAGTATCTTTATTTGTCTCCCCAAGGAGAAATTAGTTTTGGACCTAGAGAAATTGCTGCAAGGGTTACAACAGAGACCCCACAAAAACACAAGATTAAGACAGTTAAAAGACAAAAAGTACATAGAACATTTGGGCTACTCAAAGGAGCTGTGCAAATTGCGAATGACCCTTTTCTATAGGCTACTTGTGCAAGAGTAATATTATATCATATCCATACATACGTACATTCAATCACAGATATACAGTGCATTAATGAATTTATGGTCACACGTTCATCGCTGCTCATTTATGAGCTTAACCGAGAGAGGGACAAATGAGTGCTTATACCTGTTGTATTTGCACAGAGGAACCCTGTACCTCTTTCCTGAGTTCAATAACACAAACTCTGAAAACAACACATGAGAGTTATCAGATAGAATGATCTTAGCCTGCCTAATTGTTGCCTGATCGAAAAGCTCCTGCGGGTTGAGAGGTGCTGGTGTTCCCATAATTTTGCCAGCCGTCTTGACCAGATTGAAAATCTGAGTTTTGGATTTGACTCTCAAATTTCCAAACCAGCTGGTAATACCATACCGAAGAATTGGCTCTATTGTTGCTCTGTAGAAAATGAACATAATATTTTTACAGACCCCAAACACTCTAAGTCTGCGCAAAAAATAGAGGTGCTGATGAGTTCTTGCACAGACATTAGTTACATGTGTGCGCCAACTCGGATCGTTGTAAATATACACTCCTAGATATTTAAAGGAGGACACCTGCTTGATGTCATGACCATGGATGGCCACAGGGCTCTGATCTCCAGCTGATCTGGGGTCTAACAGCATTTCAACAGTTTTGCTTGTGTTGATATGAAGTTGGTGTAAATCACACCAGTTGACAAACTTGTCCACGGCAACTTGGTGGATGCTTATGTTGCTTTCTTTAGTGAGTAGAAAATATGTAATTTTTTTCGCCGCTAGGGGTCGCTAACCTCTTACAATAACAAAGGCGTAGCTTGATGACGCAGTGATAAGCGGAATGATGGGACTTGCTGTCATGCTGATGGATCTAATAATGTTTATGGATGAGTGAAAACATTCATGTTTTTTAAAACGACTGTGGTATGAAGCTGGGCGTGATTGCTAATGAGAGACAGATATCAGCGCCACACGCGACTGCGGATATAAAGGAATAAGGACATTTAATTCTACCGAACTAACGTACCCGCAAGTGCTGAATTACTACTCACACAGGTCAGTTTATTTGACGAATTAAACTTGTGAGGTAACGCAGCGCTGTTTCACTTGGTCTAACGTTACACTATCATACTAAACAGCATTTGAGTGTGTTGAAAGTTATAATGTTCTATGTGTTAGTTTGTTGGCTGTATGAGACAGTAAGCTAGATCAACATTAGAATAACATACTGATCATATTCTAACAGTTCATCATGTTGAGCCATATAACATTGATTTGTTTTATGTACATTTGCTCACCTGTCTAATAAAGTACATGCAAGAGCAGCTCTTGGCATCTCGAAAACGCCACGCCGATATTGATCCTCGTTTTAGTTCCCCTTTTGTCCCAAAGTCTGCTTGCCATGGTCCATAATGTTGGAACGAAACAACAACAGCGTTTCGCTAAACATTACGCAGTTGTCCACATCTGTCGCCATGGTTACTATGGCAGTACAAGCGGAAACCAGGGATAACGCGGATATTACGTCACTGACAGGCGACAAGTGACAAGGGACGGGCACTATTTAAAATTGTGAATTTCTCTGACTTTACAAATTCCTGGAAACATTTAGGATAATGTAAGTACACAATTGAAAGAAATATAACACTGTGCAAGTGGGTTTTGGATATTTTGATACATATTGTACCTTTAATGATCACATGACATTCAGGTAAACAAATAAAATATTTCTTCTTTTTAATACGTGATTTATTAGCTGCCTCTATTCACAAGCTCCCTGCATTTCTGTTTTGAATCCTCAGGCGTTTACAAACCCCAGTTTAGGAAACCTTGAGTTAATAGAAATACAGGCCTCATAAAGTTTACCAGTTTTCAGAGTGAAGTTTACCTCCTCTACACAGTCATCAGATTTTTTCAGCAATAAAAATGCCCCATTTGACTGTATTTCAGTTCACACTTGGTATTGCAGAAGAAACGCAGGATATGATTCCACAGACTACCAAGTCCATCCGGCTGCGGCGCTGTGGACACTGCCTGGTACAGGTGCGCTGTCACTTATTAAACATGTGATATACACTCACCGGCCACTTTATTAGGTACCCCATGCTAGTAACGGGTTGGACCCCCTTTTGCCTTCAGAACTGCCTCAATTCTTCGTGGCATAGATTCAACAAGGTGCTGGAAGCATTCCTCAGGGAGTTTGGTCCATATTGACATGATGGCATCACACAGTTGCCGCAGATTTGTCGGCTGCACATCCATGATGCGAATCTCCCGTTCCACCACATCCCAAAGATGCTCTATTGGGTTGAGATCTGGTGACTGTGGAGGCCATTTTAGTACAGTGAACTCATTGTCATGTTCAAGAAACCAATTTGAAATGATTAGAGCTTTGTGACATGGTGGAAGTAGCCATCAGAGGATGGGTACATGGTGGCCATAAAGGGATGGACATGGTCAGAAACAATGCTCAGGTAGGCCGTGGCATTTAAACGATGCCCAATTGGCACTAAGGGGCCTAAAGTGTGCCAGGAAAACATCCCCCACACCATTACACCACCACCACCAGCCTGCACAGTGGTAACAAGGCATGATGGTTCCATGTTCTCATTCTGTTTACGCCAAATTCTGACTCTAACATCTGAATGTCTCAACAGAAATCGAGACTCATCAGACCAGGCAACATTTTTCCAGTCTTCAACCGTTCAATTTTGGTGAGCTCTTGCAAATTGTAGCCTCTTTTTCCTATTTGTAGTGGAGATGAGTGGTACCCGGTGGAGTCTTCTGCTGTTGTAGCCCATCCGCCTCAAGGTTGTGCGTGTTGTGGCTTCACAAATGCTTTGCTGCATACCTCGGTTGTAACGAGTGGTTATTTCAGTCACTGTTGCCCTTCTATCAGCTCGAACCAGTCTGGCCATTCTCCTCTGACCTCTGGCATCAACAAGGCATTTCCGCCCACAGAACTGCCGCTCACTGGATGTTTTTTCTTTTTCGGACCATTCTCTGTAAACCCTAGAGATGGTTGTGCGTGAAAATCCCAGTAGATTAGCAGTTTCTGAAATACTCAGACCAGCCCTTCTGGCACCAACAATCATGCCACGTTCAAAGTCACTCAAATCAACTTTCTTCCCCATACTGATGCTTGGTTTGAACTGCAGGAGATTGTCTTGACCATGTCTACATGCCTAAATGCACTGAGTTGCCGCCATGTGATTGGCTGCTTAGAAATTAAGTGTTAACGAGCAGTTGGACAGGTGTACCTAATAAAGTGGCCGGTGAGTGTATACATAAATAAAGAGCTTTTTATAATATTAATTCAAAGGTTTAAGGACAAGCTGCAACAAAAACTAAATATTATTTACTATAATTTTTTATGTAATGAAAATTTTATTTAATTATTACATTTTTTAAATATTTAATTTCATGAAAATGTTATTTAAATTAAGTCTTTTGTCATTTTCCTTTTGGTTTATGATAATAACCGTATGTATTCATGCATAGGAAAAAACATCTTTGTTCATTTATAACAATGAATCCATTATAAAAATGAATGCACACTTTGACATAGCAACCCATGAGATCCAAACACTGCCAGACGTGTCAGCACTGTGTGCGGTGCTATGATCATCACTGCCCCTGGATAGAGAACTGCGTCGGGGAGAGAAACCACCGCTGGTTTGTGCTTTATCTGGCTGTCCAGCTTGTTGTCTTACTGTGGGGACTGTACATGGCCTGGTGAGTAATACTTGAGGCCAGTTCACCCTGCGCCGACAGATGCAGACCAACAGCAACAGACACTTCATTAGGTTTTGTCGGTTCAGTTTGTTACCCCTGTTGGTGTTCGTTTGGTCGTAAAATGTCTGAGAAGTGGCGTACTGTAATCTGGTGATTGTCTGCGTTGGTCAGCGTCTGTCGGTGCGGTGTGAATTGGCCTTTATATATCATGCATGCATGGGATGTCCAGAACTGCTAATGGACAATAGTCCTAAATAATGTATTCATTTTCATACCTTTTCAAATCTATAAGGTGTTCTCAAACCATTTCATCAAAATTAAAGCATCCAGAAAAGAACATCTTGCAGTTCAGTGTTTACCATTAAAGGGGTCCTATTATGCCCTTTTTCAGTCTTTATTTTGTTTTTGGGGTCCACTAGAATAGGTTTTCCTTCTTAAAGTTTCCAAAAAAAACCCATTATTTATCACATATTTTACATTATTGCAACACCTCTTCTCCCAATCTTTCCCAACATTCTGTTTAGTTCCTGTCACTATTAAGCCCCTCCTTCCGAAAAGCTGAATGTGCTCTGATTGGTCAGCTGGACCAGTGTTTTGTGATTAGTCAACCGCTTCAAACGTGTGTTAGGAATTGTCACGCTTACTAACGCAACTCAATCGGGACATGCCTCCCTTTTTTTTTTTTGTGTATGCCTTCGGCAGGAATTATTTAAATGAGGAATATTGTGACGTTTCTGAAAGAAAACTCAAGACTACAATCAAGGGTTTTCAGCGAGTTCAGTTCTTCTTACTGATATAGGGAATAACTCCCTTTAGAGTGGTGCTTTGTAACTTCACGGACCTTTTTCATGCTTAAACAGCAACATTACACACTAAAGAAAGTTGAAAATGGAAAAAAAAATCATAATAGGACCCCTTTAAATCTTGTACAGGTCCGGCTTCAGTCACGCTCCCACCTGGCAGCTGTGGTTGAGGACCAATGGTGTGCTCTTGGGAGCAGCAGCGGTGGTGGCGGTCCTATCCCTGACCGTACTTCTCCTCCTGGGCTCTCACCTGTACCTGGTGTCCCTAAATACCACTACATGGGAGTTCATGTCTCGACACAGAATCTCTTACCTCAAGCACTGCGGAGTAGACGAAAACCCTTTTGACCGTGGAACCCTGCGCAATCTCTGGGGCTTCTTCTGCGTTTGGGAACCAGTGGTTTGGGAGCATGTGTATTTCAAGCAAGGCAACGATCCCATTTAATTCCCTGAATCCCTGGGAGGCATGACTACCGTGACAAATAACCCATTAAATGGAAGTTGATGTTTTGGTGGAAATTGCTCCAAACTGCATCTGCTACTACATCTAATCTACTTCTTCCTTGTGAATGACCCATTCCATTTTGAAAGTGATTCTTTCTTTAATGCATGAACTTGTTATCAAATAGTTTGGAATGAAGACCATTTCTATTAAAGTGTTTTGTGAATACTTTGCCCAGATATTACTTTGACAATTTGTCTGTGCTGATTTTGCACATTTTATTAGCAAACGCAGAACAAAAAGCACAAAATCACAACAGCATTTTGGAGCTGTATTGTGGTTTCCCATTAATGCAATATGAGATTAATTACAATTTTATAGGCTTATTAATTATTATCTTGGCTCTGCTCGAATCATCTCTTTCATGGTACTAACAAGCTGTCGGACAAAAGTAACTTGACTAAACACAGTCTGTCAGCTTGTTTTATAGCAGCAGCAAATGTTGTATTCTTACATCAGCAATGATTTTTGTGCAATTATTGAACTTGTGAAATACAGTCAGTTGTACACATTTTTACATGTTTTTTGGAGGGGGAGGGGGGGAATTGACCCCATTTAAGATCAATTTTTAGACAGGGTAATACGTTTATATGAAATAATTTCCTATAGCACTTTATCAGTGGCGAAATTTCAATATGCTTGTAATGTGATGTTATCATATTAATTGTACTGGTTTATCTTGACAATCTATACATTAAACATGAGAAATTAACATATTAGAAGACAGATTTAGAATACAAACATAATCAGTGCAGTACTGTTCAACATTACAGATTTTTTTTTTTCTGCAAAACTTTATTTTTATATAAACAGGGTATTTCTTATTACACGGCTTAAAGAGAGGAATATGTAAGTGAACGTGACACTCCTTTGACTGTTAGATTCCGGGCCAGTAATATGTTTGGTTGATAAATGCAGTATAATGAATTGTTTTCTTCAACAAACATTAGTTAGAAATGTATCCGCATAATATAGAGGCATAAAAAGCAATAATTGTTTCTTTTACTTGATTTCAGTTTCTTTAAAATGTTACTTTTGCACTCAAGTGTTTTTAACTCCATATAATGCTGAGATTTCATGAATGATTTGTGCCGTTTTGATCAAAGTTATGCAATTTTTTGTTCCTCTGTAATATTTTGAAACGTCAATATTCAATAAACTGAACAACATGATCACATTGTATTTTATTTCTGAAAATACATTCATCCCGTTCAATTACATTTACTTAGATATTTTATTATCCTTCATGTGGCTCATAGAAATGGCAAATTTCATTTCAATATTTTAGTGTCATTTTATTCACAGTGTAACCTATCAGTAGTAAACCACATTGACAAAGATGCAATGGTGGCCTGATGTAGAAAAGTAAAATTTAGACAAACATGTTAAATAAGGAACAATGTAATCAGCTTCTATAATACGTGATACAGAGAGCAAAACAGTTGGACTGTTTAAATATCAGCTTAGTGAGTGAATGTGCTAACCGTATCATGCTAAGACATCGAGTAGAATATGCCTAGTCTAATTCAATAGTCCTACATTTGTCCAGAGGAGGACTATAAATAGAAAGGCAGGGATAGAGCAAGTCGCCGTTTAAAGCCCAAAACTCACAAGACGTCTGGAAGTACTGGGTTTGGAAGGTTGAGAACTGGTCCAAAATCAACAAGCAACATTTATCTGGGGCACCAATCCTAAATCAAATCCAGATTAGGGACAACCAGAGATCAAAATGTGAGGGTTTAACATGAACATACATCACATAGACTGAGCGTGGAAGAATTTGCATGATCTAACACTGAGCACACAGTCCCATAGTTACAGCCTGGAACTTAAGGAGCTTAAGATGTATCGCTCGGATGGATCAGCACTACATCAGAAATCTTTCAAAACGGCACAGCGTTCGGACAATTATTATCTGTTCAGAAACAGTGCAAGTATATTTTGGCATCATAGTTCATTGTAACAGGAAGACTTCTCATTATTTTAACAGCTGACTAAAAATAAGCATCTGCACACGATAAACAGTATAAGATCCCAAAAATAACATTAATATACGTTTATAACTGCATGTATAAATATCAGGGATGGTCGGAGCAGGTCTGAGCTTACTCACAGTGGTGGCCGCAAAGTTTTGGTCGGGGGTGATCACATGGTTTCCTCTTGGTTTTAAAGTCCAGTCTGGACAGTCTTTGGAGTTTAAGCACAAATTTGCAGCCAGTTTCACGGAAAAAGCGTACAGCTTCACTTGATTCGACTGCATAACTCAAGGGAGAGAATAATTGGATAAACAAGACAGAGAGAAAAGAAAGCAAAGATTTGATATGTCACAACCCCTTCCGAGTGTAATCGAGTGGAAGTCAGTGCAAAGCAGAGAAGTCAAAGTCTGCAAAGAACTCCTGCTGCTCGGCGGTGAGGAAGAACGGAGTCTGCGGAGGGGTCAGGACTGGCTTCAGGCGCGTGAACTCCTCGTCAAAGTTACTGACGTCTGCTGGTGCTTTAATGGACGGCAGGAACGGAGGTTTGGCTCTTTTGGCCAACAGGGCTTCCCAGTCCATGCCCTGTGGAGAGGAACGAGCCTTTTAAAAAGAACGTTTAAAAATAAGCTTCTCTAAGGTAGTCCAAACTATTAGTGACTGTCACCTGGAAAAACCTGTGTTTCTTCACTTCATTGGCATCTTGGTCTCCTGCTCCCAGTCGTTTTTCAGGGTTCTTCTGCAACAACTGCAATGAAAAGATACAGAGTCAGAGACTGAATTTCAATCTCAGTTCTTCTATTTAAGGGATGAGCTGTTACCTTTTGGACCACAGAGACCGACTCAGGGGACAAAAACCTGGGGTAGCGCACTTCATCGTTCACTATGCTGTCAAACACCTCCTCCTCATCATCACCGGGGAATGGAGACTGGAATAGAAAGGATACAAGTATACACTCAAACGTTTGGGGTTGTTTTTGAAACAAGTCTCCTCACCAAGGCTGCATTTATTTGATCAGAAATCAAAACCGTAATATTGTGAAACATTATCACAATTTAAAAAAACGTTTCTATTTTTTTTTTCAATGTAATTTATTCCTGTAACGCAAAGAGGAATTTTCACCATCATTACTCCAGTCTTCTTCAGCAATCATTCTAATATACTGATTTGATGCTCAAGAAACATTTCTTATTATTATCAATGTTGAAAACAGTTGTACTGCATAATATTATGGGGGGAAACTGTAATACATTTTTTAGGATGTATTGATGAAAAGAAGTTCAAAGGAACAGCATTTCTTTGAAATTGAAATGTTTGGTAACATTATAAATGCCTTTACTTTCACTTTAGATTAATTTAGTGTGCCCTTGCTGAATACATTTAATTAATTCAAAATACATTTTTTACTGCCCTTAAATTTTTTTAATATTTTTTTTTAAATACATAAACAACATTACAACACATGGCCAAGAGTTAGTGATGCTGTATTGTGAGTCTGAGGACCAGAACTGACCTCTCCCACTAGCATCTCATAGATGAGCACACCCAACCCCCACCAGTCCACTGCGCGGGTGTAAGTGCTGTCCGTCAAAACCTCCGGGGCCAGGAACTCTGGGGTTCCACAAAAGGTTGACGTACGATCGCCATGTCCCATACCTAATTGGAGGCAAGACTTTGGTGACTCTGCTCAAATAGTAATTTGAGATGAACAAAGAAAAACGTTTTCCACAGGACAAATTATATTATGTTTAAATATACCTTCTTTGCAAAGTCCAAAATCTGCAATTCTCACAAAGCCATCAGAATCCATTAACAGATTGTCCAGCTTTAGGTCCCTACAAAAAGGAAAGAGAGAAATCATACATGCATTATTATTCCATATATGCATATAATATGGGAATTTAGTAATAGTTGAATAATAAACTGAATTTCAATTTCAGTACTTCTAATTAAAGAGATGAGCAGTTACCTTTTGGACCACAGAGACCGACTAATAATAGTCGTAGTGTAGTTACCTATAGACAATAATAGTAATAGTGTAGTTACCTATAGACAATCCGGTTTTGGTGCAGAAACTCCAGGCCCAGTAATACACATGCAGAATAAAACCTGCCAGAAAAACCCTCGGTTTACAGTCACAGACAGATGAACGTGTCAATGCTAAAAATAACAATGCTAAAAATGTTCAGCGTGTGCGTCTGACTCAGAGAACATGTGAACAAGTGTGGCACTTATGTAAATGCTCTGTAATAAAACACACTGTGTGTGTGTGTTTGGGGGGGTACCTGGTAACCAAATGTCCCCACAAAGATAGTGATAGCAGAAACTAAACATACTAAATATGCAAGATAGCAGAAGCTAAACATACTAAATTATGTTTTTATGAAAATGTAAAAATGCAGAACGTTGAGTGAGGGCTGAGATTAGGGGATAGAATATACAGTTTGTGCAGCATAAAAATCATTATGTGGAAACCCAACGTATGTATGTGTGTGTGTTTACCTAGCCTGCCGTTCAGAGAAGATGTTATTGTGGATGTGGGTCATCAGGTCTCCTCCAGGTGAATATTCCATCACAAAGCACACATGGTCAGGTGTCTGGAAACACCCATATAGGTTCACCAAGAAAGGATGACGGGACACATTGATGGTCTCAAAAATCCTCTTTTCACACATTAAACTATAAAAAGAATAAAATGAATTCACAATATAATACAAGCCGAACACAGCTAAGGTGTCCACTAAATCAGAGCTTTAAAACATTTCAATTACAAGAACTTACAAAATAATGATACCCTTACAAGCATCCCCTTCCTAAAAATATAAGAGGCAGCTATATATTGTCATGTATATAGACCCATTTATACGGTGTAAAAAAAGGTGATCTCTTAAAGAAGTTTCCAGAATTATTGCCATTGTATTAAACAAATAAATACTATTTTTAGGCTTCATTTACTTTTGATTTTTTTTATCCTAATATAAAATACTACTTAAAATAAAAATGTAAATTTATTTGTATAGAACTTTGAACAATAAATCTCAAAAGACTACAAATTACCATATCCAATTCATGGTGCTATTTGCACAGGAAGACATTCCCGACACAGGGATACAGAACCTCACCTGTCCACTTCATCCCGGGTCACAACGTCCCCTTTCTTCAGAGCTTTGATGGCATATAGTTTCCCAGTTCTCTTGAACTCAGCCAGCAGGACCTTCAATGAAAGACAATAAGATATTGCGTCAACACCACCCCACAGAATCATCTGATTACAGTACAGAAGGACATCTGCAGTTTTACCTTTCCAAAGTGCCCTCTTCCTAAAACAGAAATGCAGTTGAAGTCCTCCATCTGCATCCCCTCTTTCCTCCTGTGAAACAGGATATATACAACATACAGTGAGGAATTGGGGAAAGAGAAAGAGACAATGTGAGAAGGGTTATATGTTGAAATTTGAGACTTAAGGTTAGGGATCTTCCAAAATCTTCCTTAATCTAAGATATGAGGAATAATAATAGCATTAATAAATAAAATATTGACTTACTGAGGTGTAGGCTGGGATGCAGGTCTGCCTTTGAGAACTTGCCGATCCTCACAGGAATTCACTCTGGTAGAAGTCTGGGAAACACGTCCCAAATCACAATTACAACTTTAACTTGACCAGAGCAATATATAGAACTACAAATTAAAAGCAAGTCTTTGTCCACAAAACGTACCCCAGAAAGTGATTCGTCAGTTGTAGGGTTCTTTGCCAAGAGGAGGCGCGGGGGCTTGGCAGGACGCTCCTCGCTGAAATTCAGTTTAACAACTGCTGAGTCTCTGTGATAAACAGCCACAACGCAGAAAGAGAATCACTTTCTACACTGATTAATGGACATATTTTCCACAAACAAATCTGACTCGACCAAAACCCCAGGGACACCTGTGCAAGTCTCACCCAGAGGGAGGGGGCGTGAACACAGATGGAGGGGACGTGGGTTCAGAGCCGGGCAGCGGAGGGCTCAGGGCGGTGATGGTGCTGTTGCAGGGGGGCAGCACACTCATCATCAGACGCCCCCAAGTGGCAAAGTTCATATTCATTTGCGCTGCCCGCAGGAAATTTTTCCCTGAGAAAAGCATTAAATCAGCTATTTAATATACAAATAACGACGCATTACTCTGAAACATCAATCGCTGAACTTCACAGCACTGCCTCTACATGTCATGTTAATAGCTCCATAATGTCACTCTTTATAGTTTTGAAAGCATTCAAGTGCTTATGAGAGAGATTATGACAATCACTTATACAGACCCTCTATGAGGACAATACTGGAGAAAATGTGTCAAGCAAGCACACCTTTTTCTTTTGGGAAAATCCGTTTCTGTCGTTGTAGTTTAGGATGCCGCTCAATGACAGGGTTAATGAATCTCACCTGAAACCAAACGGCACAATAAACAGCTGACTATATGCATTAAGCTCTAAACTGTACCAGACTCGGCTCCGTGTTTTAGCATGATTTGGCACTAGGATGAAGGTGTTGCGAGGTTCTCTTACCTCCGTGAACAGTGTGCCCTGTGGCTCTAGATAAAGACACATGCTGTGTCGCTGGTTGTCTAGGAAGTCTTCTAAACGCAGGAACTTTACGGCACACAGGGACCTCCAGTCTCGCCAGTACACTGCAATCTCCAGCTCCCGAGACTACAGGGGTCAGAGGTCACATGAGACGCAGAAAAAACACACACACACACACACACACACAGATATCAACTGTAGTTGTAGTTCAGTAAAAAGTAAATTTGGGAAATATTACAATTTAAAACAACTTTTCTATTTTAATATATTTTCAAATGTAATTTATTCCTGTGATAGCAAAGCTGAATTTTCAGCATCATTACTCCAGTATTTAGTGGCACATGATCCTTCAGAAACCATTCTCATATGCTGATTTAGTGGCCAGGAAACATTTCTTTTCATTATATTATCAATGCTGAAAATAGTTGTGCTGCTTACTATTTTTGTGGAAATGGGGATAAATTTTTTGGATTTGTTGATAAATAGAAAGTTTAAAAGAACAGCATTCATCTGAGATAGGAATTGTAACAGTATAAATGTCTACCGTCACTTTTGATCAATTCAATAAATACTTGCTGAATAAAAGAATTAAAAATAAATAAATAAATTCTCACAGACCCCCATTGAATGGTATTGGTAGTGCATGTTCACTGACATGGCAAAATAAAAATTATGGCAATTACAATGATTAAAACTGAAACATGCCTTTTAAAGGGATAGTTCATCCACAAATTATGTCATTTACTCACCCTCAAGTTGTTCCAAACCTGTATACATTTCTTTCTTCTGCTGAACACAAACGAAGATATTTTGAAAAATGTCAGTAACCAAACAGTTGATGGACTATGGAAGTCAATGAGGCCCATCAACTGTTTGGTTACCCATATTCTTCAAAATATGTTATTGTATGTTCAGCAGAAGAAAAAAATTCATACAGGTTTGGAACAACTTGAGTGTGAGTAAATGATGACATCATTTTCATTTTTGGGCACACTATCCCTTTAAGTATTGTACTATTAAAATAAGCATTTTGAGCTGTCCCCCCCCCCCCTCTATACCGATTGTTTCTAAAACAATCAAAACTGAAGCACAGCCTTTGAAAGAAAAACTGCAACAGTAATCCAGAAATAATGAAATAAGTTCTCATTTTCCGCCGGAAACGCTGAATCAGCTTGGAGACAGCTGCAGGCTGAATTGGCCAGTATTCAGGCTGAGTGTTTGTGTCCAAGGGGTGAGCAAAAGATTACAGTAATGTTGCGGGATTAGTTTGGATTACTCTGGAGGCGGCTGATTGCACTCTGGGAGAAAAGCTGCGTTAATGAAGGTGAGGAAAAGATTTCAGCCAATGCCATCACAGGCACTTTCCATAAAACAGACGTGGCAAGTGTTGCCTGGGATGACTGACAGTTATAAATTGCAAGCTGTAAAAGCACTCAGACCAGGAGTTTGTGATATCCATTAAGGGTGAGCTCCTTATCTGAATTCAAAACTCTTATTTATTTACTAGATATGTCTATGAAATATGCAGTAGAATTTGTTGGCACTGACCCGTTCGAGTTCAATGCTAAAGCTCTGATTCCAAGCCTCCTTACTCAGCGGCCGCCAATGTGTGCGACCAACTATCTTGTTATCCACCTTCAATACAGCACTGATCTCAGCTGAGAGAAAACACATAAAAAGAAAGAAAACAATTAAAGAAACATCTTACTGGGGGGGGGGGATAATACATAATACATAATTTAAAGTCACTTAAAAAATTAAGTAATTTGAATTCTAATGACTAAGTGAAAAAATGTCTATTAAATTCCATTCAGTCTGTTTATTTGAACTATTTTGAAGTCATTGGACAAGGTAGGAAAATACAGATTCCTTATGTCACTCTCAACAGCGAGATGGAGTTTACAGTGAAATCCATTATATTTCACTCTGCATCCCCTGAGATACTCACATGAGAGCTCGTCCGTCTTGGTGGTCTTGCCGTTGGTGCTGCGGGTGGAGAGACCAGTTCTCATCCTTAGTGATTTGGACTCAGAGGGACTTCCAGGGGCAGAGGACATGTTGCTTACCCGACAACGGCCTGGAACTGACTCCAGCAGGTCCTGACATCCCATCAACCTGACCTCCAGTCGCCCTGAAAACATGCATGCGGGTTTTACACAATACAGCAGCCATACGTATACATGACACATCAAAAAAACCAACCTGCACAAAAACAAAGATTAGCATACATTCCACTTTCATTGCCTCTATACTTGTGTACTTTGTACAATTATACCAATCAGAAGTGCAAATATGAATAAAATTGTTATGATACAAGCCCAATGGCAAATATAATTATGCATAAGTGGGTAATAAGAGGTCTGATAAGAGCCCTATCAGACCGAGCAAAGTGACCAGTACAGTTAAACAAGTCTCTTATGCACAACCAAGGCTCCATTTATTTGTATTAATAATACAGTAACTGCAATGTTGTGAAATATTATAATTTTGAATGACTGTTTTCTACTATAATATATTTTGAAATGCAATTTATTCCTGTAATGACAGCTGAATTTTCAGCATCATTACTCCAGTCTTCAGTGTCACATGGTCCTTCAGAAATTATTTTAATATGCTGATTCGGTGCTCAAGTAACATTTCTTATTATCAATGTTGAAAACAGCTGTGCTTCTTAATATTTTTGTGGAAAAATATTAAGAAGTTGTGTTCTTAATATATACAGTATATATATATATATATATATATATATATATATATATATATATATATATATATATATATATCCCTCTACTGCACGCATTATTATGCAATCATGGGAAAAAAATTTACAGTGTTTTTTTATATATAAAATAGACTCAAATTAACATTTCTTATTTTATTTTTATTTTTTTGGGAGGGGTACTTTTGGGTACGTTGCCATATGGCAACATTGTGCGACAATGGAACAGCCTGATGCGTTTTCTCCCAAAATGATATGAAATTCATAGATGATTACAGACCTGTCTTTTAGAAATGAAATTGTTTTTATTATTTAAAATGTTTTCAAGAGCTTTGTGTACAAAATATGAAACTAATTTTCAAAGTATTATTTCAACAATATTTACAAAACATCTGACGCAAACTCATAAGAACTGTTCAAGTGAAACTACTCAATGTGAAACGATTATTTCAACAACATTTACAAAACATCTGACGCAAACTCATAAGAACTGTTCAAGTGAAACTACTCGATGTGAAACGCCTTAAAGCAGTTGTTCTCTCCGTTAAAGGTGGGGTATGTGATTTTCTTTTTTGACCATTTTTTCAAAATCACTTGAAATCCTATTCCTAACCCACTTACAGCCACTGAGTTAGAAGCACTGACATGAAAATTAAAAAATTTAATCATCTGTGGAACGGGCAGGACTCGAAAAACTCCAGCCAATCATTTCCAAGACCACCTAGAATCATTGGACAGTAAGTGCGTCAATCAGACGGTCGTACCATACCCCCCTCCCCCCATGCCCCTCTTCGAATGGGTGGAGTCAGGGCCAGCGTTGGAGGAAAGAAGGTAGGACCTTTTGAGTTGTGTATTTTCAAAGTCTGCCGGCCGTTTTGCAAATCACATACCCCACCTTTGAGGCAGAGGTGCACCTTGCACTTAGAGCAAACCCCTCTGACGATGCCCTTGCAGCCAGGATTCTGGCACCTTCCTTTTGGTGCACCCATCTCTGGCCAGTGATCAAAGCGGTCAAGACGGATATATATTTTACTTTTATACTTTACTTTTACTTTACTTTATAAATATATACAAATATATATAAATATATGAGTATAATACAACCATCCAACTATATCAGTGCATCCATGCATTGTCATTCATACAAAGCTACTCTGCATTAGCATGGGCAAAATATTGTTCCATTACCGCACAATGTTGCCATATGGCAACATACCTATTTTATTAAATAAAAAGGTAATATAAGTATCAAAACAATGTGACAATGATTGAAAAAAGATTAGAACTTATCCCAGATGCTTGATGTATTTTTTTATTCCGAAGAAATATGAAAAAAATGAGGAAAATCTTCACATATACACGAGCACTTTTTCAGCAGCTGGAGTCATCAAAAGTGTGTGAAAAGAATGACGTTGCAAGGGTGTGTGTAGTGTCGTGATGTCATCAAAGCATATCATTGGTTACCACCGGGTTCTATTATGAATTTAAGATCAATCAGAGCTCATGTTTATTTTCAAATTTCAAGAAATGTCCAAAGAAAGGGTATGTTGCCATATGGCAACACTGTGCAGTAGAGGGATATACACAGTATATATATATATATATATATATATATATATATATATACACACTACCGTTCAAAAGTTTGGGGTCAGTGAGAATTTTATTTGTATTTTTTGGAGGAAAGAAATCAATACTTTTATTTATCAAGGACAGTAAAGACATTTATAATGTTACAAAAGATTCTATTTCAAACAAATGCTGTTCTTTTGAACTTCCTATTCATCAAAGAATCCTAAAAACAAAAAACAAAACAAAACTGTACAACTGACAGACCAACAACTGTTTCAACATTGATAATAATAATAAATGTTTCTTGAGCATCAAATCCTCATATTATACTGATTTGTGAAGGATCATTTGACACTGAAGACACTGACACTGGTGATGCTGAAAATTCAGCTTTGATCACAGGAATAAATTACACTTTACTATATATTCACACAGAAAACAGCTGATTTACACTGGAATAATATTTAATACTATAACTGATTTTTGTTGTATTTTTAATCAAATAAGCGCAGCCATGGTTAGCAGAAGAGAATTCTTTTAAAAGTATTTAAAATCGTACCGACCCCAAACTTTTGAACTTGAGAATACTTTTTGTGTGCAAAAAACAAACAAAAATAATGACTTTACATGAGTACTTAATGACAGAAGTTAAATTTTTGGGTGAACTAACCCTTTAATATGCTCACAGAAAGTAGTACAACAGGGCCTTCAGTCTCTAAAAGTAAAGACACTTTTCACTAATTTAAATATCGTGACATCACAGCTATATTTATCTTGACATCTTAACACCATAACCTTCCTGCTAACTTTCAACTGTGTCAATACCTGTCAGGCTGGATGGTTTGAAGAGTGAAGAGGACGCTGAAGACGAAGAGCGCAGGCGATCTCTATGCAACCCAACGACAGGCGAGGACCCCACTGTCAGCTCCTCTTTAATGGCAGCTCGTTTGGGATGGTCATGTGGAAGGTCTCCAAGCCGCTGCTCCAGAGACAAACGTAAAAGGTCCAGTTTCTGAGAGGACTCCTGCAAACGGGCCTGAGCCTGGACACAGAAAGACATGCTCAAAAATACAAAAGAGGCTCAGAGCTAACAGATATGAGCTACATTTATGAATGACAGTAGAGTGAAACAAGGCCACTGACAGTAACTATATAGACAGAGTATATATTATATTTCCTATATCAGGAACTCTAAAACTGGCTTTTTGAAGGTATGACAAGTGATACAAATTTATGTAATCGTTATCGTCCCAATAATAAATTCAGGCCGATATATTAAAGCCGATAAATAATGGATTATTTCCTTCAGCTGAGACACTTCAGATGCGTGCTGTTTGCCATGATGGTTGAATTTCAAAGTGATTCCAATCATATTTCAAGAGAAGGATAAGTGCAGTGTAGTGCAACATGTGCAGTGCAAATCTGTTATATAGGCTACATAAAATTCATTCAATTCATAAGAGTCACGTCACGTGTCATTATGAATACCACATTTACAGTCACATCCGTTACTGTAAACCTTTATTTTTGCATGATGCTGCATGCACGCCAGTAGGTGTCAGTTTACCATACATAAGTGTAACATTGGTCAGCGCAAGATAAACCAAAACTTAAGACAGTTGAGGAAGATCCATGGGAGGAGTATTTATTTGTTTGTGAGTTAGACGTTAACAAGTAATCAGAGTCTGATATTGATCTAAAATATAGATAGGCCTATAATATAATATGTGGTTAGTAGTTCTCATATGGTTTTAATATTTCGTCGTAATGGTCGTAATATTATGTAATAAGAAATAAAACTTTTTTTTTTTTACGGTGTGTGAACATGCATTCCTTCTTGAGATGCCAGAATTTGACTTGATGTAGGCACATTATAATAGACATCCAGTTTAATATAGTATCTACATAACTACATTATTGCATTGTGAAGAGCCAGTGTCAAGATCCATCACACTTTAGAATGGTTGGTGCCAGTTTTCATAATGCATTTCGGATTGGTAGGTGTCACTTTATAATGGTTTGGGGCATTTTATCTAATACTAGTTTACAATTATACCGGTATGAAATACATTAATAACTATGATTGGGACTCTCATATTACATAATACATAACATTATCATGAGAGTGTATCCACAACAGGAGTTACACATTCTGACTATGTAACTTAGTTCAAGTTTACTTGTGCTTTTGCATACATTAGTTGGAGTATATACTAATATTACGTTTGTTGAGTTTCGTTGAGTTAATTAACCCGCTAACAAAGCACTTAAGTTTCTTGGTGTTCATGCAACTCAAACAGCAATGCTGTTATTTGAAAAAGTACAATTCATTTTAGATGTTTCTTTTTTTCTTTTCTTTTTTTTACAAACTGATGCATTATTAATAATAACTAGAACTTTTATTTCTCTCATATTATTATTTTTTATCAACAATAAAATTATTTAATTATTGTTTGTGCATAGGCTATTCCATTTTATTTAACCATGGCACGTGCATTTGGATTCTTTATACTCAAGTAATATACGTGTTTGCATTATTTTGGCATGATTTTATTTCTTTGTGAGGCAATACTTTTTTGATAAACAAAGTTGGCCATAGGAGTGTAAAATTAAAACTGGTTCAAACTAGGCTACTGTACTGTATATGTTTGATTTATGTTAAAGTTCTTAGGACATCTCTTTTAATCATGAGACATTTGTTTTTGTAATCAGGCTTCTCAGATGTACATTTAGATGTATCTGCGTTATATGAATTATCGGTTATCGTATCGTATCTTCATATCAGGGCATCCTTAGTTATGACTGGACAGGGAAGGATTGTAACCTGTTTTAATACAAGCTAAGTGATTGAAAATGCTTCTGGTCTTCAAAATGCAAAGTGTAAATCGAAAAAAAGAAAAGAAAAGAAAAGAAAAAAAAGATTTGTGAGGCCATTTCAGCAGCAGGTTATCTCTGAGCAACGTTAGAGCGCAAATTTCTCATTCTATCACTCACAGTAGACTCTGTCTTGTCTGTCTTAGTGACAAATCATGTGCTGGGTGTGCTACTTCAAGGTCAAACATGCATGGCTGAGCAACACTGCAGGTACACGCTCAATTCTCAGGAGTGAATCAAAATACTTCCAAAAACCACTTACAGGTTTATCACTGTTACTAATTCACATGCATAGATGTTAGCCAATACATCTCATTATTTAAAGTCCCCCTGTTATGCTTTTTTGGATATTACCTTGTTGTCAACATGTTAAGAACACGCGGTTTTCTGCGCTGCGTGCGAAAGCAGCGCAGAAAATACACTTTACATGCACTTCCAAAGGATGAGGATTCAGGCTCAAGTTGATACGGTAAAACCTGACGCCATCGTTACTGTTCGTGTCACTGAGAAAGAGTCGGCTCTCAGAAAGTAGGAGTTTAGAGAGACCGAATCCTTGATCTACCGTTTAGGAAACTTTAAAATGCACTTTACACTTTACATGCACTTCCAAAGGATGAGGATTCAGGCTCAAGTTGATACGGTAAAACCTGACGCCATCGTTACTGTTCGTGTCACTGAGAAAGAGTCGGCTCTCGGAAAGTAGGAGTTTAGAGAGACCGAATCCTTGATCTACCGTTTAGGAAACTTTAAAATGGCACAATAGGGGCACATTAACTAGGGATGTGCAATATCACAGTGAATGTCTGCACAATCTGCCTTTAAAAAAAGAGATTGTAGTATCATGCTATCAGATGCAGTTCTGGCGCCCCTGTCCCAACATACAGTACAACATGATGTACATTCACATCATGTTTAGAAACGCAGCAATAGGGTTACGCCCATGTGAAATTGCAGTTCTTCACTATCACAAAAGTTTATTATTTGCATGGATTTTAAAGCCTTACCAGTTCAACTTTATATTCACAGACTGTTCTGACATAGCTTTCTGAGCGAATACACACTGTCACACAATGCAAGTATGGAACTAAGTTCTCTTTCGAGTCTTATTGCGCTAGCCTTAAACTGTCAAATACACACAAGGTTACACACAAACACAGTTGTTTATATCTTAAGTGAATGTTAACAGTTCGATTACATGTCAGTATATTATGATACTCATTTGTATCAATTTAATTCATTACATTTATATAGCGCTTTTCTTGGCACTCAAAGCGCTTTACATAGAAGGGGGAATCTCCTCAACCACCACCAATGTGCAGCATCCACCTGGATGATGCGACGGCAGCCATATTGCGCCAGAACGCCCACCACACACCAGCTTACTGGTGGAGAGGAGACATAGTGATGAAGCCAATTGGTATATATATATATGGGGATGATTAGGAGGCCATGATGGACAGATGCCACTGGGCAAATTTGGCCAGGATGCCGGGGTTAGCCGCGGTCTTTCGAAAGACATCCTGGGATTTTTTGTGACCACAGAGAGTCAGGGCCTCAGTTTAACGTCTCATCCGAAGGACGGAATCAGTACTGCTGCTGTCTGTGTCATTAATGGAAAACCACTCACTGCTCTTGACTGAGTAACTTTAGTAGCATTAATAAGAATCAGTGTAGGGGTGGGCAATATGACCAAAATCTTATATCACAATATGAGTAATTTTATTTCACGATAACGATATATATATCACAATATAGTTATTTTTGCTTTAAATAAGGTTATGACATCAAAATGTTTGATACCATCGAAATTCTTGCCACTTTTTTAATATAAAAAACTAATACTAGCCTAAGTTTAAAAAAAAAACCCTCAAACTTACTGAAGACAAGTAAAGTGATAAAGAAAGAACAATGAAACGAATTACAAGCATATAGGAAAAACTACAATAGAACAAAGACACAAATGAAATAGACCATTCAACTCCAATGGGTTTTTAGTTCACAACATTCTACAAAATATCTTCTTTTTATATTCCACAGAAGAAGACAGTCATACAGGTTTGGAACCACATGAGGGTGAGAAAATGACAGATTTTTCATTTTTGGGAATTTTTATCTCTTTAACAGTGGAACCGTCTATTGTTCCCTGACAGTAAGTGCATTCAGAATGAGTCATGCATGCGTGTTGGTTACTGAAAAGCCTTTACGTCAAGTCCAATATATACAATTACCTCTGCTAGAGCACGTCGGTCCTGCACTTTGCGTACTCCAAGCTGCTTGACCACGTTTTTGGCACCTTCTGCCACAGCTGCCTCAATCTTCAGATGGTGCCTGAGCTCCTCCACCCGCAAATCAAGCGGACTAATAGTTTCAGATGGGCGACCTGCACAAAAACAAGTGTATAAACCAGCGGCCCCCCCCCCCAAAAAATAAATAAATAAAAATATTATTATTAAATATTAAAAATTAAATATATATATATATATATATATCCCCATAAGAAATAATAGTGAATAACCATTCAGCAACTTGCATTACTGTTTTACAATTCACAGACAAAATTAATTTCAAACATTTCACAAAATAATAAATGTTTATTGTTTAACAGATAATAAACGTGTATTTAATCACAAAAACCAAGTATTTAATTTAAAATGTGCAGTGAAATTAACAATTAATTTCTGTATAAAACAAGAGCAAAAACATATTGTTAATGCATTCTAATTAGGTCTGTTTTATGCACCAAGTAACACCAAATCAACACTAGAACTATCACAACATGACAAAAGTATATCACCCACTTTATAATCAACAGTGTAGACAGCATCTATTAAAAAGGGAAACACTGAATTCAGTCGTGTCATGCCACTAGCTTCCTTCCAATGCATCTGGTAAACCACACCCAATGAAAACCACACCCAAAGTCAATACTAAAAGGTTACCCCAATCCAAAATTGACATTTAAGCTTAAGTTCAAAATATATATTAATAGATAGAGCCGATCCTCCCAATACGCACACTACGCAAGTTGCGTAGGGCCCCGCAAATAACTCAAGGCCCCGCCTCCCCCTCGTGTCAAAGCGTGTCAATCAAAGTTTACAACATCGATGAGATAATTAAGCGGGACTATCCTTGTGGTTATGAAAAGAGAGACTGAGAAAAACACCATGTGAGTGAATTGAAAGCGCGTATCTATACCACGAATTTAATTTCTCGTGCCATTTATACGGCAAAAATAGTTTTTGCGTGCATATGATAGGCCTACGCAGTTTTCGCGTGCATATGATACGGACTTTTTGCCGTGTAATATGCACGCACTCCACACCCCTAATCCTACCCAAGAGATTTACAGTACATAGCATATGCACGCAAAAAACATTTTTGGCGTATAAATAGCACAAGAAATTAAATTCGTGTTATAGATACGCACTTTCATGAGACTACGTTTGATAATACAAAGGCCAACGGTGTTTGTTTATAAACTGCAGCTCGGAAAAGATAACCACGTCGCGCGTATGCGTATTATTCATATGCGAGTGCACGAAATGAAACGCACACTTTCCAGTAAAACATCTATTGGGGACTGGTAACTGGTACCAGTACCAGTACCAAGTCAGTTTAGTTACAACTCTGCAATAAAGCAAGATGGAAAGCAATCCCAAGCAAGGAATGACATTGACTATATTGCATTTAAAATGTTGATTGGCTGGACATACTGGTCAATATGGATGCACATCCCTCAGTAAATAATAAACATCTCAAACATTGACTATATTGCATTTAAAATGTTGATTGGCTGGACATACTGGTCAATATGGATGCACATCCCTCAGTAAATAATAACCATCTCAATTATTGCTTTTATCATTTAAAACACAGTGACATGCAATGGCAAGCCATTTTAGCTTTTATTAATTCACAGGATGCATTTTTGATATCAATAACTAAATTTGTACTATTTAAAATGTGAATTATTGATATTAATATAAAATATGTCTATTTCTGATATCAGGAATTACATTTTCATTAGTACTAACTAAACGAGGAAGGATTGTAGTGGGAGAACTGGGGTGTCAGGTGTGACTGTGTGGCTATGGCAAATGGTTTACATGGCTCATGGGTCAGGAGGGCCCCTTAACAGATTTTTGCTTAGGGCCCCAGGGAGGACAGGATCGGCTCTGTAGAGAAAAATAGATCCAATTCTTTCAAAGCAACTCATCTAATAAGATGGGTGATGATGCTGCTGTATTGTTGATGTCAAGGCTGTGATGTCTGTCTGAATGCTTGAGGAGATTTGGCTCAACACACACACTGTACCCTTGGCAACCTGTTCCCTTTTTGATTATTATTTTGAGAATTTGGTTTGCATTGCAAGTTTAAAGATCAATGTCATTGTAAGAATAACTTTTTTCAAGAAACTTGCGACCCTCCTGTAACACACTTTGGGAAACTCTGCCATAGACTATGATTTTGTTCATCCTGAAAACCGTTTTAGTGCTGTATCTTGGCTGTATAGGGGTCAATGTCCTATGAGGGCACATTTTGCTTGAAAAATCCATAATAATCATAATTTCGTACATGTATTCTTTACTGATTGAAAATGTTTGTTTACCCTCTGGCTGTGTGGTCTCCCGCTCTCCTTCTCTGGCCTGGGTGACTTTGACAATCTGCATGCGAAGGAGCTCGATTTTCGTCTTGCTATCCTGCAGCATCTGCTGGGCAGTGGACAACATCTTCCGATCCTGGGGAGTGACAAGAGAAACAATAGATCAATAAGTAAATCTTGCAACTGCATTATAACAAATGGTAAAGACACTGTCAGAGAAAAAACAACAACATAAATAGGCAGGGACCACAAAGAAAGAAATACGAAGAAATCCAAGATAAACATCATGTTTCCCACATATTTTGACCAATTAAATTTCATGATTTTTTCCATTAATTTTCCAGTTTATTATCATTATGATGATCTTTTTTTTAATAGATTTAGATTTATTATTTATTATTACAACACCAATGTTTCCAAAAATACATTACAGCCAATGAATATCTATCCCTTTCTAGCCAATGAAATACTTTATAGCAGAATATAACTGTAAAATATGTATTCACTACAGAAATTGATATGACTTTTACAGGACCGAAAATGTCCTGATATTTCCAGGGAATGTGTTTTCCATGACCGTGGGAACCCTGTAATAATATGCAGCCACAACAGCATTTATATGTCCCAAAACACTGTATGTAAACACTGTCAAAAAATGTGTTATGTTTGTTCGAACATCCCAACCAGCCTGAAACAGAAACAAAAGGGGAGTGTTTGAGAAACCAGACATATTTTTGCCATTCCATTTGATGATTATTACTTTATTAGCAGGCACACACACACACAAAAAACACACACTACAGCTGAGCTTCCCCAATATAAGAAATTCCCATGAAGACCAGCGGGCCAAAAGTCCAGCAGTCTTCATTAAACTCTTTTCTTACTCATCATGAGAAGCAGCCAGGTGTACACCACACCCAAACATACTCAAATATCAAACACTGACTGTGCAATTTTCGCCCCAGAGCTTTAGGAGCAGTGACGTTAGAGTCATAAAAGCGCAACAGAGCTATATATCCTGAAATGCAGCAGCTACATTATGCAAATGAAAGAGACACACTGACTGATTGCGATGCCCAAAACAGCCTCGTACAGCCCCAGTGTAAACAATGTTGCAACATGAAACATGTGACCTTCTCTGAAACCTGCAGAAAAGACCCATTCAAGAGGTAAAGGAAGAACGAAACCATACCGTCCATAGCGCTCTCCCCCTCTCAATGCAGCTCAAGAGGTCATCTGTCATGTTTTGTGAACTTTCAGATGGCTGGTTGACATCCCCTTGCTCTTCTTTGACCCCCATCAGACGTTCCCTCCTGATGTGTTTTTCTCTCCATCCTCAAAACTGCTCATGTCAGTTTATCCTGTATAGCAGACACTGAGCCTTAGACATAGCAGATCAAGGATCAGTATCCGGGAAGCCTCCATTCTTTCTTCTTATTGTTCTACTGTCCTTGCATCTCGCTCGCTCACTCACCACTCCTCCTCCCTCCCTCCCCTTTTTACATTTTTTCTTTCAGCCTCTCTCTCTCTCTCTCTCTCTCTCTCACTCCGTTTAGAAATCTCCTTCCACAGGAGTTAGCCACCTCTAACTGCTGCTGCTGCCGTGCCCTGCCTGGCTGGCCCAAACCCGAATGCTTCGGCATTGGTCGGCACAAAGTCACATGGGCTGCTCCTGTCGCCAGGCCTAGGACCGGAGAAACCGATTCAGTACCAGCAAGCTCTTCCATTTCAGACTCAAAGAGAGGATGTTTTAGTGTGCGACTCAGTGTCTGAGCGTGTGTGTGTGTGAGATCAAGGCCCGGTACTTAAGCTATTTGAATCCAGTACAGACATAAATCACAGAGCTGCCAGCACACAGTGTTCTCAGCCAGACGCTGCAGCATTATTGAAGCCCTGTCTGATATAAATGCACAGACTCAAAGAATAAGTGGCAAATACACTCACGGCTAGCTAGAGGTCATGAGACTATCACTCTAAAAGGGCTATAAAGAATGGGGAGCAGGGGGAGGGGACTTGGGACCTCCTTTGTGTGCATATTATCATATTTCATAGCATTTTGGCAGCGACCCAAACTGATTTAAATACACACAGATGAGTGGAAGGCGAGTTAATCATCTCCAAGATGCACAGGAGATAAAAAGGGACCATGAGGGGAAATCCTCACCTTGACAGAACTGTTGGCGTAAGTCTGGATGATGTTCTCAGCTCCTTGTTTTACTTTGAGCTCCATGGTAAGCTGTTTTTTCAAAGTACGGACACGGCTGCCCAAGGGTGACGTGACCTCTTCCCAATGGCAAGGGTCTGGAGAGGTGGCATCATCTGAGAAAACAAAGAGTTTTCATAGATTTATTATATAATGAAAAGCAAATGAGACAAAGACAAAAAGTTCTGCACTTTATAAAGACATAAATGCGATTCGGTTAGCCTTTTTCCTGATATTCAAATTTGTTCAAAGGGTGGTAAAAACTAAAAGGCCACAACTTTTATAAAAAAATAAAAAACAGTCTACAATACCATTCGAAAGTTTGGGGTCAGTAATTTTTTTAAAATAAGAAATCAATACTTTTATTCAGCAAGGACACATTAAATTGATCAAAACAGCATTGATCTTTACAGTAAAGATATTGATCATGTTAAAAAATATTTCTATTTAAAAAAAAAGTTTATTCATCCAAGAACCTTGCAAAAAATGTATTGCGGTTTCTACAAAAATATTAAGCAGCACAATTGTTTTCAACATTGATAATAAGAATGTTCTTGAACACCAAATCAGCAAATTGTGATACTGAAGAGACTGGAGTAATGGCTGCTGAAAATTCAGCTTTGCTATTGCAGGAATAAATTGCATTTGAAAAGTTATTTCAAATTGTAATAATATTTCACAAGACTGAATAGGGGGAAAAATAGGGTGGAAACCTGATCAGTTCAATCAGTTTAATCTACAACATTTAAAATAAATATGTAAATGATTAAAACTCACTATATAACGTCAAAGGCCGATCACACCCTCCAGCTCTCACCTGACACAGTCTCTTTCTGTGTGGCCATAGAACGTGCATTCAGCTCCTGGAGCTCCCAGTGGAGCTGCTCGAGTTTGCGGCTGGAGGCTCTAAGCTGACCGTCCACATCGGCAGCATTCTTGCGGTTGGTCACCGCCCGTCGCAGTCGCTCAGCCGCCTCTTTGATTTTCAGTTCCCGCTGGATCTCCTGCCGGAGAAGGGCAATGGCATCCTCTACACGCTGCTGGAACTCAGGGTCCATGAGGTCACCTTCAGCCAGACCCCGCAGACAGCTGCTCTGTGGTGTTCAAGTGACATTGAGAAAAAAGCAGTATAAAAAAAGTCAACATGCTTGCTCGTTTATGTCAGCCTTTTTGATAAAACATAATGAGATCTGCGTATCAGCTCAAGTAAGGCAAGCATCTGAGATGCTGTTAAAAAGGTTAAGTAAACATATAATTTTATGTGTGAAGGTGATATTATTGATATATCGATATAAAGTAGACTTACTATGAGCAAGGTTGGATAGGGTGAAAATAAGGTCACTTACTGATATAAGCTGTTACACCATAAACGCAAAAACACATATCTAATAAATACTCGCAGACACTTACATATTTTCAAACTGCAGTGGTCGGAAAGAGCTAAATGAAAGGAAGAAACCTAAATTTTTCTACATAATATAGTAATGCATATTTTCTGAACAAGCCATTCATACTGCATCTCACTTCGAAACACATAGACGGCAGTGTTTCACACATTCTGACTGTCTCCGAAAGAAAAATCGAATCAATTTACATTAGAGGCTGACATTTTTTCGGGAATCCCACGGGTCACGGGATTCCCGTGGGATTCCTGCAGGATGGGAGTCATCTTTGCTATTAATCACGGGATTTGGACGGTACAGGATAAATGGTTAACGGGAGCAGACGGGAGCGGGAATCAACCAATAGCAAAGACGACAAAAAAAGAAAAAAGTAAATGCACCATTTTGTAGTTTCCTTTTAATACGCCTACAATGTAACGCAATTAAAAAATAACTACACGACCCAGCCGTCCCAGAAGCCATCAGTGCTTTTTGTCAAGGCTTACCGCCGGAATTCAAAGAGCAGTGATGGAGGGAGCTAACAGCCGCGGAGAAGTCGATGTGGCAAAAAATTATTTACAGTGCAAAGTCAGAAGTAATGACATGTCTATTAAGTTCACAGAACTGGTCGGAAAGTCTGAAATATTAATTAAGTTTATGAGAGTAGAATGTGACGGTGATAGCACGATGTACGCTGCTTGTAAGACATGCTTAGTCTTAGTCAAGTACGCAAGTGATTCAGGGACGAGCGGTCTGAAGAGGCACACTTGCAAGGCAAATTCGGGAAAGAATCAGCCAAGCATCGCTTCGTTCATCAAGCGAAAATTGCCGTCAGGTGTCAAGTAAGTAAGTAAGTTTTTAACATGTAATTTAAAAAAAACTATAAATGTAAACTATAAATGTATTGTTTACTCAACAATAAATGAGTAAAATGCAGCTTTATGTGCTGTTTGGGTTTATTAAACTATTGTAGACATGGTGTGAACCATGTACTGTTTTTCTTTTATTTGCTATCTTCCATTTTCTGGAGAAAATCTAGAAACAGGGGCTCAGCAGCTGGTCTAAAACAGGATGGAGAGCAGATTAAATCAAATTCTATGTATTAACTAAGCACTAATTGAAGAAAAAAAAATATGGGAGCGGTACAGGAGCGGGAGTCAGTTTAAACAGGAGCGGGATGGGAGTGGGAGTCAATTTACCAGGAGCGGGATGGGATGGGATTATTTTTTAAACTTTGGTCTGGGAGTGGGACGGGACAAGATTTCTTTCTATGGGAGTGGGACGGGACAGGAGTGAAAATCCACTCCCGTGTCATCCTCTAATTTACATAGAGTAGACATGATGTCGTCCCCATAATTCAGTTTAATAATAGAAGTATTCAACAAATTGTCCAGTATAGTTGGTCTAATACATCCATCGGGACTTTCCTAACAGCAGTAAATCTGGAAAAACAGGCAAAGTGCATTTCAAAATAAAGAGACACTGTCATTAACCACTGTCACAAAATAACCATTTCAGCTAGGCTACTTTAAATCACAAAAGACTTAAAAGTGACTAACGTTAGTTTTTTCATCCACACATAACTTCAGTTACATTTATGCCTCTGGTGAAGGACACAAGAGGAAGCCAGTCCTGTCAAACTCGTTCAACCTGAAAATCTTTAGTGATATTTAATTGTTTGGACATTACCTTGTCCAAAAACTACCATATATAAAGCAACATAATAGAATGAGGCAGATCTAATTGTTTACTAAATCAGACATTTATATTTTACACTAGTTTCGCTATTAATAAAAAAAAAATGCTTGTGGGTGACTTGTGAGTAATTCGGTTGCATTAACGTTACTCGATCAAAAACATTGGGACTCACCCATAATGTAAACATGAGCGTCTGAACGAACTTTAACGATCTGACCGCTTTATTTTATGACTTATTTGATCTTCAGACAGTAACACTTACTTCTCCGTTTCTCCGCTGTATCAATAAGCCTGTCTAATCAATAAGACTATCTAATTTGTTTCTTACCTGTAGCGTCACGCCCGACATTGTGAAAGAGAGTCCGACACGCGCAGACAGACACTGATGCTGCTCGGACTAACCGACTCTTCGCTCGAGCTCTCGGCTGGCTCTGGCTCACGCGGTGCCTGATTGAATGACACTAGAAACCATATCCAGACTTCCAAGTGAATCTGAGAGAGCTCAAACAAAAAAGACATTCAAAGGGAATAAAAAGTGTTGTGCTGTTGTGTGCTGGAAGAAGATACAGGTGGCTGACTGTCAGCTGGGAGGCTAGACCATGGGCTAGACGGCTCTCAAATTACCGGTAGTTTTTTTTTTAATGGAAGTTGCATTGCCTTTCCCATTTCCTGAGGTTTGAAAAATCCTCGCCGCCTCCCTTTTCAATGATTGGCTGGCAGCGCTGTCAGTCACAAGCGTTGCACTGAAGTCATTTGGTGCAGAGACCAATAGCACACACTACTAACTTACTACAAATCCTACTATTATTCATATGAAATAAATATTTTTATATACACAATAAATGCACCACGGAATCTGCAAAGTTTCAACAAAGGCATTAGCATAAAAGTAAAAAAAATATACTGTATTGCTCTACAAAACAACAATTTTTGAGTTTATCAGTTTCGATTTATTAAAATTCTTATATGGTCGCTGTCATCTTTATTCACTGTATGGGGGTAAACTTTTTAACTTTAATGCCTACATATTTATATTAAAAACGTATAAACTGTGCAAGTTGAATAAGAACAATACATGGTATGCAATAATAATAATAAAAGGTATATAAAGGCATGTAAATAATAAAGGTTTAAAACTAATGTGTGCATAAAATTTCAGGCTCCACTTGTCTCATATCTCGCGATGGTTGAAAAGTACGAGATTCAACGGCGTATAAATCCGCTATTTGAGTTCTCAAGTGCGTCATTCTAGATATCATGGCGGCTTTGCTGGCGAAGAAATGCGCGTCTCCGCTATTTCTCAAAACGCTTTCAGCTCCACATTTGAGGATGCAATCTGGGTATCACATAAAGGTAAGATAGCATGACTCATGTCAATCGACTACGTTTTCTGCTTTGTTGTAGTTCAAGTGGCTTTCTGTGAGGTTGTGACATCCCTTGATACGTAATGACAGTAATTGGCACAGTACTATCAACACTAAAATAGGACATAGCATGTTTCGCATGGTTTCGTTTTAATGCTTTAAGTCTTTATGCTTTGTGTCATATCACATTTGTATAAGCTGAATAATTAAAGGATTTACTTGTTTCTTTGAGCCCAGGACTTCTGTAACACAACATCTTTTGAAAGCATCACTAAGACTTTTTTATTTTACAAATGACAACTTTTTAATTTGACGGATAACTGAGTACAAAACTAACTAGTTAATAAATTTGGGGGCCATTGAAGATCAGTATGGTCGTTTATTTGTCTTGTACGCACTGACACATGATACTGACTTTGAACCAAATAACTCAATTGGCCCCTCCCCTAAAATGTATTTTTGTTTTAAAGGTTGTGGACCACTATGAGAACCCAAGAAATGTAGGATCTTTGGATAAAAATGCCAAAAATGTGGGCACAGGGTTGGTTGGCGCCCCTGCATGTGGAGATGTGATGAAACTGCAGGTAATCCTCTCTAGCTTGTGAATGACTGCTTTGTTCATCCTAAATAATACATTTGTTCAGTGACTGGGTATGTTTACTACTGTAGGGTTATTGACTGTCATTTATCATTATTTAAGTAGGTGAATCTTTCAGGATTCTCCATAACATGTCTGAAGCTTTGAATTGGATTGGGATGAATCTGCATTAAAGAATTATTTATAAAACAATCAACAAACAATCCAAAATTTAAAACGTTTATACAAACTCATATAGTCAACAAATAACCAATTATCTATGTAAACACTAAATAAATTAGTTATTGATCATACGATTCTGTTGTATTTAATCCAATTTTTATAGCAGTATTTAATTTTCTCATTACTGATTTTTTTTTTCTTCATATGAAGTTGAACTCTCTTTATCTCCCAAAATTAAACAAATGATCTAGTTTTTATTTTATTTTTAAAACTATTCATTACAGAGACAGTCTGTGGTTCATTCCCAAATACTGCTGATGGAAACTCCTTTCATGCCACCCTGCACAGCACACAGTGGTTATTTATTCTTCAGTGTACTGTTTTTCTCTCACCTAGATTGAGGTGAATGAGGCTGGGAAGATTGTGGATGCCAAGTTCAAAACCTTTGGCTGTGGCTCTGCTATTGCTTCCAGTTCCTTGGCAACTGAGTGGGTGAAAGGCAAATCTGTAAGCAAAAATAGTCACATTTGCTAGTTACACTTCTTATCGCTTTGGCTTGAATGTTTATCCTTTTTTCCAATCTGTATTGTAACAAAGCTTGATTGATTGTAACTGAACATTTTTGTCTTAAATAGTGATATCAAACCTAAAAATGATCTTCATTTGTACAGGTTGATGAGGCCCTCAAGATAAAAAACACTCAGATTGCTAAGGAGCTTCGCCTTCCACCAGTCAAACTGCATTGCTCAAGTAAGATTTCTGATTCATCGGTGCTTGTACAATATTTTCTAGCATTGTATTTGGTGCTCAGGTTGACGTTAACAGTTAACATTTATATGTGTAATACAAATCTTAATTGTATGTTCAAGATGTTTCTGTTCTATTACTGACCTGGTTCTCTGTGCTTTGCAGTGCTGGCAGAGGATGCCATTAAAGCAGCTTTGGCAGACTATCGTCTGAAACAGGAAGGTGAACAGGGTGACCAGATCGCCGTGTCCCGCAACTAGGAGGTGCACTTGATCCTCTAAATCAGTGGTTCTCAACTGGTTCTTCACAACCAAATGGGGTTTCAGGTCTGTTCTGACTGGATTGCGGGCAGCAGAAAAATATTGTTAAATGTTGACGTGGAAGAGAATAATGCATTTTATTTCTTCCATTATGCAAAGAAATTGATTTTACATATTGTTTGGTCTACACAGATTATGGTAATTTGAATAAATCTCAGGGTTTGGGTCACCATTTGATGCCCAATGTAAACCATAGACTGTAAAAGAATGATGTAAACTCTAGGTCTTGAAACCATACCAGTTGAGAACCACTGCTCTAAATCCTCCTTATGAGTTTAGACCAAAGCTCTCCAACTCTTGCACTATAGCCAGTCTTTTAAACGCACAATGTAAAAGCACTGACCTATAGACTGTTACTATGTCCAAGCCATATTTGTTTAGATATGATGTTCGATATGTAATAGTGGTTTCACTTGCTAGCTGAATGCGCACAAATCTTGTTCTCTTTTAGTTTGAAGGAATGAAAATTTGATTCTGATGGTGACTTATCCTGCTGGTCTTTTATTCAATGGGTTTTCAAACGTTTATTTGGTAATATAAATAAAGCATCTGTAAACATCAGGCATGTTGGCATTGGATTTAATGCTGCATGCCCATGGGATCAATAAATATGAAGCACATTTACAATTAAAATTTAAAGTGATGAACTGATTTTGCACTGCACTTGGTTTCAGCATAGCTATTATGTTTTTTCCACTTGAAACTGTCATCCATTCTGGCTTAAAAAAATAGAAATATTCATAAGAGATATTCCAGAAGAACTCCTTTTCTTTTCTGGGTGGGAAAAAAATCACCATAGATGGCGCTGTTTTGCCACCAATGATCAGGTCTAAAATAAGAACAGAATTTTGTCTCATGCATTAACTTTTATTAATGTATTTTCAGTTTGAGTAAAACTCAATGTCATATTTGTTTCATGAACTGTAAGGTGTAGATCTGAAAAACAATGGTTGTGGTGAGTGAAGTAATGGCATTTATTGACTTCATTCAACAAAAAAGATCTAGATATATATATTTTTTTTTTTTTTTTTTTTTTTTTATCTTGAACATTAAAATTAAGAAGTGTGACTCAACTGGTCAATTCCCATAAAAAGATGTTTATTGAGGATATTGTGCTCTTCATAAAGTACATGTTGAGACTAACTGATCTTTAGACTAAACTCTTAGAAAGGTGGCATGGGACTTTGTGGCATTCAGCAGCTGTGGCTGAATACCTCTCGACCTTGAAAGGAAATATTTAGAGCCAGAATATGTAAACAATAACCTGGCTCACAGCAAAGCTTTTCTATATTGAGGCTCCTCTCCTTAATTGGAGTAGCAAATGTGCTTGCTTTATTTTTTGGGTGTGTGTGTGTGTTTGCAGCACATTGCAAAGTTGTGAGACATTAGAAAAGACATAAAATAGCATTCTTCACGTATAAGCCATCACCCTTCCAGTCTTCATAAATGTCATCGCTAATAAAAAAAAGAGTAAAGAAAACGAGAATAGTCATCAACACGTCGAACGAAAAGAGATTCACGACAACTAATGTTTAAAATGCCATTTTTATGTTAAAGTCTTGCCCAAAAGGCATCTGTTCATATTTACATTTAAGTAAATTAAAATACTAATTTTAAGCAGAGTACATTTATATTTGGTACATCAAAGTAAACAGTCACAAACAATGTTAAAGCCATACATTTTCCTGAAAGAAATCTGATAATTTGGTTGCACTTTATTTTACAGTACATGCGCTTACGTGTACTTACCTAAAAAAGTATTGGGTAATATAAGCTAATTACATGGGTTAAGGTTGGGTTTAGGGGTAGGTTCAGGGTTAGTACCTAGGTATAACCCAGTTATTGCAATTACTATAATAAGTACATATGTACATGGGAACAGGACTGTGAAATAAAGTGCTACCGATTATATCAATAAAACTTCATACTGCATTCTTTAGTTTTACAATGTGTCCAATAAATACACTTTTGTCAGTATTTATGTCTAAGTGTTTCCTTTAAGGCTTTAAAAATGTCCACACTAAAATGCTGTTTTCTCTTCACTGATAAATGGTGAGTCTGAAGTAGCAACTTCCTGTTTGTTCGTGTTCTCTTGTATCTCTGAATTCTCTGGCCCAGATAGATGTTTGCTCTCTTCAGGGGGCCCAGAGTCCGAGGGGTCAGTCTTTTCCATGTCACAAGCAGGGACGCTGTCCTGGGACCTGCTGGGGCTGCTCTTTTCCACAGAATCCTCAATGGCAGACTGATTTGTGGTCTTGTCCTCTAGCAGGCCACAGCCATTCTCTTGACTCTTGTCGCACTGAGGACATTCCTTGTCATCGGCAGATTTTTGATCTTCTGCCGTTTCATTCTTCTCTTTCCATGGAGCCTTGGCTGGAGTTCGGAGGTTCTTGGTAGCCAGCATGATGTCCTCCTGGAGCTGCCTGGCTGAATTCACCGGCTCCTCAGTGGATCTGGTGTTGGCTTTCTCCGGGACTTCGTTGAAGATGCGCACTCCTCCAGTCTTGTCTCGCTCATCCACGTACATCTTGGAGGGGAAAGCGCAAGGGTAGTAGGTGCTGACTTTACGTCGGCGACTCAAGATGGCAGCCGAGCAGAGGATGGTGAGGATGAGAAAAAGTAAAGTGGTAATGACAATTATGGGAAGGTGGTTCTCTTGTAAGAAGTCCACCATCTGATTCAAGAACGATTTGGTATGTTTTTCTCCATATATGGAGGTGGTCTTTACCGATTCATTGAGGAAGGAGGAAATGCTAGGTGTGGGGATCGGGTCTGTGCTCTCAGATTCCCACTGCCCACTACCCTCCATAGAGTCATTTAAAATTACTGGAGTGCCATTCGCGGTGTGCCTGGTTAGCAGAGTGACGGATAGGCCGATGAGGCATCGGAGAGCTGAGTGGTCCATCCTGTGACTGAATACCTGAGTTGGTTAAAAAGGCATTTTAATTACTCCATTTTACATTTTTAAACCACTTGTTTTTTTTTAAACATCCCAGCTAACCGAGAATCTTTTCAGAACTTTGGCTAACATTTGTTGACAAGGTTCTTGAGTTATGAATGCTATAGATTGTTTGGTTCAAAGTAACATTTAACGTTTCCCTAACATTTGCAAAATAATAACATCTAATTTTCCCTTCACATTTTCTCTGACATTTGTAAACCAAGAGAAAATGTCTTTCATACATTTGAAAAAAAAAAAGTTGCACATTCAGAAATAACGTTTTCATAACTTAATGGGAATATTAGCATGTTCATAAAACATATTTTTGTTAGCTGTGATATTATCAACTTGGACTCACTAACTTAAAGTTTAACAACAAATAGTTAAAATCAAAAACTTTGGTATGTTCTCACTTCATTGTGACATTCATTCACTGCAGTTGTCTGCTATCAAAGCGCCACATGGAAACCTTATTGGATTCATTACTGTATGTTCAGCAACTGCAGCCGAACATCACTGCCATGTCCGCTGGTAACTAACACTCAGAGGTGGGTAGTAACGAAGTAGGCTACATTTACTACTTCGTTACATTTACTTGAGTATTTTTTTGGAAACATTCTACTTTAAAGAGTAGATTTAAATGTGGGTACTTTTACTTTAACTCGAGTAGGGTTACATTTCTAATGAAAAAACTGTAATTTCTAATTTTACTTCGTTACGTTGGGCGACGTTCCTCTCGTTAGCGTACTTTATTTTAATGCAGTATGTTGTTAAATGCGTAGTTTATTCCAAGCGCGCTGTATCTTTTTTTCTGGGGCATGGGCGATGCTCAATTCACAAATGAATCACTCTTTTGAGTCGATTGTGTTCAAAGACTTCATCAAAGTTGGCTGATCTGTCTAAATTGGTTCGCAAATCCGTTTGAATGATTTGTTCAGTTTCCTTAACGCACTGAATTGTCTGAAGCGGTTTCACACTCGGAGTCGTAACAGGAAGATTTAAGAACATCAAGAGCGTTGGATGAAGTGTAGCCTACATAGCCTACATATATGATCCGAAGTAGCTACTTGAGTAGTTTTTTAATTGGATACTTTTTACTCTTACTCAAGTAACTATTAAGATTATTACTTTTACTTTGAGTGAATATTTCTATAAGTAGGCCTACTTGTACTTTTATTTAAGTTTTATTAATAGTAGTTAATGCACAGATCAAGAACTAACAATAAACAAGAAGTTAAATGTTCATTTATAAAAAGTACTATAGTTAATTGTTAATTCGTGTTTGTTCATAATTATATTGATTATGATAAAGAATGTTAAATTCTACAACTTAACATTTAATTATATCTATACACTGTAAAAAGTGATCAGTTGACTTAAAGCTGCTGTCCGTAACTTTTTTAAGTTAAAAATAATCCAAAATAATTATATAAAAAAAAACATATTCTGCCAGTGGTCAAACTATCTGCTTGCCATAGCTAGATTCAAAACGGTTAGCTTGTAATAATGATTTTAATTCCAGTGGTACTGGTGGGTTTCCGCGGGAAATTCGAGCATGTCTTTGCGTCATTACGTCACACCCGTACACATAAAGAAGGAGTTTCGGCTAGCCGGCTATACTGCGCGTGAGGAGATGTTTAGATGTATAACGTTAGGCTTTTCTCGCAGCACACTTTGCATAAATAAACTTATGGCATCCAGAAAGATCCAAACAACAATCATCAGTGTCAACTGGAGATTCAGCAGTTATAAAACCCAAAAGACTTCGTACTTCGGATTTAAGGTGGCTAGAGAAAGAGAAAGAATCCGTCTCATGCGAACACAAGGATTTAAACATCGGCGGGGCTTTTGAAAAGTGCGTGAACTCCGTGTTTTGAAGGGGTTCAAAACGGAAGAAGAGACGGCTTTTTTCTGCTGAACAAGTAAGACATTTCAATAGTTCAATTGTGTAACAGTATGTTTTCTTAATTCACACAGTTATGGAGTTTCCTTTGTTGTGCCTTTCTCGTTTTGCTATTATGGAGAATATGAATTCTGAACTACACAGGTAACCATAAAACACATTAAATTTAACATTAGTCACGCAATGCTGATGTTGTTAACATGAACAATTTGAGAACAAAGTAGGCTATAATTTGCACGGTTGCTGTAAATCGTGTTGATTAAATCTAACGAAGCTTATCATGTCGAATGCTTTTTCCCCCTTAGTTAGTCAGAACAAAAATGGATTTTACTTACTTGTTCAGAAGACATTTTCTTATGAAAATTCTTATGTTGGTCAAACTTTCAAAAAGTGAATCTGTGATTCTGTATGACAGTATCCACACAGCGCGGTGACTGACAGCAGCACTCGCCTCAAAGCATTGTGTTCATCCGCGCTGTTTCATGCCGATTTACAACCCACGTAAAGATAATAATTCCGCGAATCACTGCAGTTACAGATTTCGAACAGAGAGATGGCGACAAAGAGGAAAAGCTACGGACTGCAGCTTTAACTTAAAAAAGGAGGAAACCTGTTTCCTTAAAATTAAGTTAATAAACTGCATGCAAAATTGAAAAAAATAAGTTATGTGAACACATAGCTTAATTTGTTCAATTATGCATGGTTTAAATAATTTTAAGACAACGGCTTTCCTCACTTTTTTTTAAAGTTAAGTCAACTGATCACTTTTTACAGTTATTTAGGTATAGTGTACTCATATAGTTTCTCAAAACAGCTGGTGAACCAACAAAATAAATTATGACGATTTGTTTCTTTAAACAAAGATCTTTTATCAGAGGTCTTTCTGCTCTGTGCCATCTGTGCTCAAGCTGACGACCATAATCATCACTGGGCATTTGCTGCACAATGGAAATAGTATCAAGCTCATGTGGTGCCTCATTTTCCAACACACACACACACACACACACACACACACACACACACACACACACACACACACACACAGCCAGCATTAATATTAGTCTATCCGTGGTTTAATGCTAGCTTCAAAGCAGTTCCAAATGTATGAAAGTTCTGTCCTCGTCACATTAACTTCCTTTTATGTAAATCTCTGTCTTTTAGGGGCTACTTGCCAAAGTCAACAGCAAAAGTGCATTCAGAAACTATGTCACAGAATCTTTTAAACGTAAGAGAACAGTTTTAAACTTGGTTAGCCACATCTGGACATGGACCTTTTAAAGCTGTGCATTCCTGTAAGGCAAGTCATCTGTCTATCGTTACATGGACAGAGACGGCATTACTAAAATAGAAAACAGACTAAAGTAATGTTGAAATCTGAATTCATACTTACTTTCAAGTGCTGAAGTTCTAAAACATGCCGACTGGAGATGATCTAACATGGAGAAGAACGCTTCTGCTGTTTCCTCCTCTCAAGCTGAATATCTGTTGTTACAGACTGCACGACGAAGAACAGTTGGATTGGTGAGGGGGGAAGAAACTCTTGTTCTCCCCTCCTCCTCCTTTTTCTTCTGCTTCTACTCTGTCTCAGAAAGACTGACTGGGCCAGTTCCAGACACACTGTTCTCGTTAAAGGCTGGTTGGGGGAGAGCCGGGGTTTTTTTTTCCTCCTGCCTGTGCACTGGAGAACTTCAAGCCACCAGATGTAACAGTTTACTTCAACAAACTGGGGAGACTCTAAAGAATATTCTCCAGATTTTTATTTTCATCCATCCATTGTCTTGAATCTAAAAACCCTGATTAAACCCATTCTTCTAATCATTAAATCATCAAATCTGTTTGAGGGTGAAATACAGACATTGATGGTCTCTTGTAAAATACTGTGGGTTTGTGTTTGGTCTTCAAACAGAAGCTATCAGATCCCTGAGGAAGAGGTTTATGTTTCCTGTGCTCACGGGATCCAGGGGGTAGAGGGCACACGTGCCGTGGGCCACTGCTGGAACAATGGACAGCCAGGGTGTTGAGAGCAGAAATATATAAGGCTGCAGTTTGCCCTAAAACCAAAGAATAGCAATATAATGAGCTGAAAATGATGGAAAGGCTACTGTCTCAGTATTTAAAAAAAAAAAACCCAAAAACAATTATAGGAATATTTGTCTGCAGGAACATACATCCTATCTTATGAATTAGTTTTCAATATGGCAGCCCTTTGAGGCATCTAGGACTTTTAATGACTTGTCAAGACATACAAGATCATGAAAACATCTGCTTTAAGAGCACCTAAGCTAATCTTGAGAGGGTTGAGGATGAATGATGTAGTATGTCTTTTTCTTGTCATTCTTTCTTTATTTCAATAAACTTTGCTGAGAACAGACTTAGAAAATAGTCTTTACGTGCAGTAACAATAAGTGAGAGATAATGTCCTTTACTAGGAATCTTGGGATAATGTAGGGGTCTTGAATTACCCCAAAGAGGTTTATTTTGCCATAATGATTTTTAAAAAATACAAATGTGGGGATGAAATATTGATCTAAATAATTGTACCTGTGCGTATATTATCTTAAATCTTCTACTAATAAAAAAAGTCAATATAAAACTATTAGCCTAAAAACAACAAGAACATTGAAACAATATTACAACAATAATAATGAAGTCCTTTGAGGTCATTTTCACTATTTTCATTATTAGGAATATTAGGAAACCTCTGATCGATGAATGGGACAATAGATCAGAATCAAGTTTTCAAGATGAGAACATTTCATAAACGTAACAAACTATTTTAAGGTGTCCGTGTTACACTGAAAAAAACAATAAAGTAAATTAACTTAATTTTTAATTGGCAAGTTTTTGCACGCATATTTTTTAAGTAAATTTCACGCATATTTTTAAAGTAAAATTAAGGAATTAAGTTAACTCTACTTAACTAAGTTAAGTGAAAGTAACAAAAAAAAGTTATTTTAACTTGGCTAGTAAAAAGTTGAGTAATATCTATTTAATTGAAATTTCCTTTGCAATACATTTCACTCGAACAATAACATTGAAATAAACTATACTTTTAAAGTATATGCTTGCTTTACTTAGAATCATCTAAGTAGTTAATACAATAGATATTGTGTGAGACACCATTTCTACATACCAAAAGTAATGCAGCACCTGAACACAAGACCTCAATACTTGGTAGACAATACACAATGACGGTAATATTTGATTGTCATTTTGAGTAGAAAATTAACTCCAAATGTCACAAAATGGCAAGTTACTAATCCTAACAACAAAAGCAATAATAAAACAGTTAAAAATCAACCTCATAATTGTTCAAGGCCCAGTGCATGGTGGGAACACCAGTATCAGAAAAGTTGAGTCATTTTACTTAATTTTATAACGTTGATATTTACGCTTTCATTTCTACACGTTTGAATTGAGTACTCTAATATAGAATTTACTTTGTTTTTTAATTATTGCCTGAACTAACTTTATGTAAATTACATTGTTTTTTTCTGTAGTATTTACTTCACCACAAAATCATTTTAATCAGTGTACAGTGTAATTATGCATTTAAGTACAGTGTAATAATAGTTAACTACATGTACTTACTACAGGGTTAGGGTTAGAATCGGGGTTTGGTTTAGGGTTAGTAAGTTGCATGTAATTATGCATAATTTACTACAGTAACTACATGTAACGTGTAACAAGGATGCTGTAAAATTAAGTGTGACCCAGGATTTTTGTTTAGCATCATTGTAAACAGTCTTACAAACACCAAGAAAATGACCACAAACTTCATGAAGAATTATTAATGAAAGGATTTATTGTAGAGTCAACCTTTTTTATTTTAGGTGAAGTTTGGAATGCATGCACAAGACTGTTTAGGACACAGATAAGTGCTCAGATTCCTGGATGATGTCCTCCAGCAGTGGTCAACTGAGGAGGTCTGTCTAAAACCAGAAACACACATAGAGGCACCAATACATTTACAGTACATATACATCAGAAGAGCTCGCAGGTAGCCACTGCCTCGTAAAGCCAAGTTCATGTATCAGAGCATGTGTCAGCCCAATATTCTGAAACATGAGAATAATTCAAAAGTGGGGGCAAACATAGATAATGATAGCAAAAAATAGCCATTTCCTATTCAAAATAAGTTGATACTATTTCTGTGGACAAAAAAGTCATGCAAATGGCAAGTGTTGAGCATCCAATGTTTCTGACTTAAAAGTGGTTGATTTCCTGAGGTGCAACAGTAATTTCAGAATTACTATAAAGTTACAGCGGTAGGTTTTTGATTTATGATGCCTATGCATGATTAATGCATTTTGAACAACTTTAGGTTTAAGTTCACATTCATTCTGCAACGTTACGTTATTGCTTCTGGATAGACTGTAACTGATTGTGTTATATTTTGAAAAACCCTGTTGTTGGATGCTTTATAATCAATTATGATGATCTCAAAGCCAGGCAATGGAGGAGATGACAATGTGCTTAATACTTCAGTGATCATGATCATCGCAAGGGACAATATATGGACCGATTTTTAAAACCCTAAATGTTGAACTTTAATGGTGATGAGCATTTCTTAGATTTCACTAGAAGCACCCACACACTACAAGATAATCCAATTCTCCTCTTCCGACAATCCTAGGTAAAGTCCTGATTATCTTGATAGTTCAACAGATTATCTGATCAGATTTTCCTGTGGTGTGAGGTGCGTTAAGGGTGATTGAATCTGCTCGGGGCCACACCGATCTCAAATCGTAAATATCCAACAAGTATCCAATATTTACGATCAGAAATCCTGTTGTGTGGGGGGAATCCCAAAGACAAACACGCACGCACTCTGTAGATTGTCACGTGGAACGAAACGATACAAAATCAGAAAGCGAGCTGCCGGTGTGGTGAAGACATGAGTCCCACCATAGAGATGAGTCCCACCTTAGGACCCAAGCAATCCGATTGGTTCAAAGCACGTTTTAAGATTTTGCGAGATTTCCCGTGTTCACAGTCGGGAATCTGTTTGTTTTTTTGTTTTTGTGAATGGAATCGGTTGGAACAAAACTGTTAAATCTATAATAGTTTTTTATCATCATGTTTGTGGTCTCTCACATTTTGAAAATCTGTTCATGTGGGCCAGCCTTAAATCATATCCATATCATCACCAATGATTCGTTTCTGAAGTACCAATGGCCTTTACAATCACACATTACTGCCTTTTCTTCTTTTGTCCCACTTTGAATAGTATGACATGTAAATTCATGTTTTTCAATAAGCCACTATCTACAACTGGGAAAAACATATAAAAGTAGAAATAAAAGGAGAGGTGACCATCATCACCTCAAATTTGGCAGCACAACAAAAAAGGAAAGAGAAATACTGATTTGTATATACAACGACACTCTGTAACATACTGGTAAATATCAGAATACTCATGGAAACAATGTTACAATAACTAAAAAAGTAAGAACATTTTGAACAAAATGTAAAACATCAGTTAAAACCAGTGACCGCTCTTTGCCACAATTTTGCTTCTGTTATGCGAATGCTTGGGGGAGACTTGACAAAAAGTAAAAGTCCATCTTGGAATGTTGCTTGAAGTTGTCCATGTGAGAAACACCAAGCGGAATGATCGAGTCAAATTGAGAAATTTTGGCAGTGACTGACCTCCCCTGCCCACCTGAATCTCTCTCTTTCTCTCCATACTGACGCTATGGCTCAGACCACCACCAGTGTCTTAGATTGCCACTTTAGCCACCTGCTCTTCCAGTTTGGCGATTCTCCTGTCCTGCAGCGTGACCAGATCTCTAAGGGACTTGACTTCTCGCAACAGCTCCTCTAACTTCACTTCATTCTTCTGCGGAGCAGAATAAAAGAAACAGTGTTTTAGCACCAGTTATTAGAGGGGAAATACAAACAAGCCAATGAAGCATTATCCTTACTCTGGTTAGCTGAGGAGAGGCAGGTTTCTGAGGAGTTGCTGGCTCCTCCACCTTCTTGGTTGCCTTGTTATCCAGCAGATTTTTCTTGACTACTTTGAGGTCACGGTTCTTGCCCGGGACATAACCATGTTTGAGCGAGATCAGGATTGGTTCGCCATTCTTGCCTTCAAACCACTCCTCAGCCTCTAGCGCCGGGTCTGGACCTGCTGTGTCCGGATAGAGGTCGTCCTGGAAGAGGTCTGACTGCCAAGAACAGAAGAGACAGGAAATACCGTAATGAGTATTTTGGAATCATGTATTCAAGCTGTTTGTTTTCTCTGAAAACATTTGCTGCTTTAATGTTAACTGAAATCATGTGCCTCCCCTTTTCTTCATCAATTAATGACCATTAAATCACACTTTTTATTAAGCTTTGCCAGTAACACTTAACTTAAAACTAAATCAACTGAACATCATTAAAAACTATTTTAATAATGGAGATTTTAGGATTATATTGAGAAATAACAAAATCATACAGAATAATTACATAAACAGCAAACATAATACAGTAAAAAGTACCTTTCTAGGGACGGTCATGATAATTGGCTCACACTTTCTCTCATGAAGTTTATAAAACCTGTGAGAAACAACAGACATGTTATTGGTGGCATTGTGTTATTATTGGTGTTAACAGCACAGCAATCTTTTTTGCTTTATTTATGTTACAAAATATTTTTTTTTTTCAAATAAATGGTGTTCTTTTGAACTTTCTTGTAATCAAAAAATCATGAGAAAAAATGTTTCCACAGAAATATTGAGCAGCACAACTGTTTTCAACATTGATAATAAGAAATGTTTCTTGAGAAGCAAATCAGCATATTAGAATGATTTCTGAAGGCTCATGTGACACTGAAGACTGGAGTAATGATGCTGAAAATTCAGCTTTGCCATCACAGGAATAAATTACATATTAAAAAAAATTATATATACACACACACACACACATGTATATATATATATATATATATATATATATTTAGTGTATGCCAGATATATAAAATAATTAATTGCTATAAAATAATAATTAGGTAAAATAATAATAATAAACACAGAACATACACATTGATAAAGGAGTAGATACTAAAACTAATGATCCATACAGTGATAATTAGTTGTCAAATAACATTTCAATGACCTTTATGAGCCACAGCATGATCAGTGCCACACTGCCATCCCATTAGATTTTATAGTCAATGACAGGCTAATGCCTCCCCCTACTGGAGAAGAAAAATGAAACTAGCAGCAGGAGTAAAGCATCAATCAAGTCACACCACTGAGAACCATAATCACAACAATGCTTCAAGTCAGTTTAGTTTCTCGAAAATATCCAGCTTCTGATGTGGCCGTCAGCACCTCAAACAATTCAGCCTGCTTTTTTTTTTAAAAACACTTAAAAGAAATACCTGTCCAGTGCAAACAGCGCATACCTGGCTATCTCGCACTTGTTGACGTCTAGGCCTCTTTTAGGCATGTATCCCATGCCTCTCTGGGGCTCCTTGCTGGAAAACGTGTTGAGGTAGTGCACATACGGTGCCTCGTCTGTGATCTCGAAATAACGGATACTGCTGTCACCCTGGACCAGAAAACAAGCTTACAGGCTTGCAAATTTCTCCACAATGTCCTTTTCACAATTTGTATCTTATTAAAAATATTTACTATATATACACACACACTAATAAAATTATTATGACATCCCAGTATTGATGTTAAGCCAGTGGTTCACAACTAGGGGGCCTCTGCTAACTTCTAGAGGGGCCCCAAATTATTTAAATTTAGTTAACATAATCTTAATTAAAATTCAAAAAACACAAAACATAAAGATGTCTAACATTAAACTGACATAATGGTATTACATATAACAGAACTGTCAGAGGTACATATCAGCTCAAATAGGAGAGACTGTGACTATTGTCCCGGACAAAGAAGGGCCTTGGTGTCAAATAGGTTGAGGAAAAACTGCAAAGATGTGTATAATTCATTTCAATCAATATGTTGTAGAGTTAATACAATATGGCTGAACTTGCGCTTCTTGGGTTAAATAAAAACTTGCTCACCTTTCCACACAGGTAGACCACATTAGTGTCAGGGTCATAAAAGGGAAGCAAGACTCCATTGCTGGTGTCCATTTCGTGCACTGATATCGGCTCTTCCATGTTTTTCTTAAAGAGCATATCAAAATATTTCATTATAGTGCATAAAAAATCTAGCTTTTTCAAAAACAGAGAGAAAATCCATTTGTTTGGGCTTACTGGATTCCATAAGGCTAGCTGCCGCTCACTCATACGACTGAAGCCGGTGGTGAAGATGTTTCCATCAGCCAGAAAGATGGCCCTCATGGGCCGGGCCCCCTCATGGGCCTTATCCTTCTCCTGTGATCATCAATGCCAGTGAGACATTCAGAACTGTGAAAATAAAGAGTCCTTTTGAGATGTTTTCACTTACCGCAGTGATCTTCCCCTTGCGTGGATCGATAACGCGCACTTTCTTATCCTTGCATGCGGTACAAATGAGGCTGCCGTTGCGACTCCAGCAAACGCTGAAGATCACGTCAGGATGCATGTCCTCCAGGTTGATCAGAGCTTCTCCTGTGCCCACGTTCCAAACGATGATGAGATTGTCGCATCCTGACGGAGGAGAGAAGACAAAAATGTTTGTTTTTTTATCATTCAGTCACAGGTTTTTTGCTCCTCAAGATGATAAACGCAAAGGTTTTTATGTAGCGCACTGGCTTTTAAAATTTCTTACCCGCACTTAACAGAACATTGCGAGCTGTTGGATGCCACGTCACAATGCCCACCCTTTTAGAGTGACCCTCCAACACCACGGCTGGCTCAGAAAGAGCTGAGGTGAGGCCGTTCTCAGGGATTTGCCACACCTATGTAACAAAAATGGGAATATTTGAATAATAATAATTACTCTTTTTTTTTACACTTTTTGGATTCTGAGCATGGTTTCTATGAGAGGATGTAGCAAAGGAGCTGGGCGTACCATTACTGTACAGTCTTCAGAGCCGCTGGCAATGACGTGATCATTGTTCGGGCACCAGTCGATGTCCAGCACAGGGCCCGTGTGACCACAAACAGTGGGATAGGCCTTGTCAATACGACCCGTCTGCAAAACACGAAGCAGGGGCAGAGAGCATGAATTTATGTCTCATCTTGCATAATTCTGAACAACTAAGATTGGAAAAATTATGAGTGGACATTTAATTCATGTGCGGTTATGACTTACCTTTTGCAGAGGTAGAACAAGGAAAGCTCCACCCCCACTAGCCTCCACAATAATAGCAACAAATTTGGGGTTTACTGCACAGAAGGCACTGTCCCAGGTAACCCGCGAAACCCTAATGTCATCATAGCACTGGTCATTCTTTACCGCCTGACCAAACACATGACGGAATTTACTCTGTCGTACCACTCGTCTGATCATTTCTGAAAATACAAGACAAGAGAAATGTTTTGTACTTACTTGTCATAATGATTTTTTAGATTTTAAATAATACTTATAGTAATTCAATATTTATTATCGTTACTATTACCTGACAAACCTGATAGTTTATATTTTGCAGTACAGTCAAAATGACATATAAATGTTCAATGTTGTTTTTCAGATATAATACTGACAGTGTATCATATTAGAGTAAGATGAGCAGTCAGCTAGAGAGCACTGGGAAACGGTTTCCCATTTCACTCTGTATAAGCAATTCTCCATAATAGACAAGGAGAAAATGCAGTTTTGTGTGTGTGAATTTCATTGAGCCTCTGTGTAGAAACTTGTAATGAGAATCCCATGCTCTGATGACAGTTTGTTTAAATTATTGAATCTATATACAGTAGTCAACATTTGAAATGGATCAAAAAAGTTCATCAAAATTGTCCTAAGACAAGAACGGGTATTGTTCAAAAGTAATGTAGGCTATAACTTTGATGAAAGGTCATTTCAAATGTTGACTACTGTATATACACATATATATATATATATATATATATATATATATATATATATATATATATATATATATATATATCCTATATTTAATTAAGTTGGAGTTAATAGGATATGATGAGTTGTTAGCATAATTATCTATTTCATCTATTTCTTCTCAAACAAACTAATTTTTTCTAATTTTTTTATTTACATGTAATCAAATGAAGCACATATTTAGCTTACTTGACAAAATTGTTTTATAGTGTCTGAAAGTTCATGCATCAAATATAAACTATAAAAGTAAAAAAAAAACTTTCTTGAACAGATATAAATTTGTAGTTAATTTATCATCCAGGACAAAAGATGCAATTCAACATAATCTAATGAAACCTAATAAAATCCCAATGAGCTGCCAAAATAGACATTTCTTATGATGCTACACACACCAAAGATGCTAAAAAAATGATGCTCACATCAATGATTCCCAAAATTTCTGTATAGTTGCAGATTTTGAGACACAGACAGAGTTTATTCCTGACCAGTGTTATAAAGGGTATAACAGATATAGCCAGGCCTACTAATTGATATTCATAATTAAACATTAACAATCAATGGTTAAATGAGTCGTTTATGCATGATGTGCATTATCTGAAGGATGCCTGATTGGTGACGATGCCTTCCTAAATAATAGCAACTACCATTAATAACAATGTTAATAAATTAAGTCGATTCCAAACAGCTGTGAATAAAGAAGAGAATAAAATGTGGTCCTCACAATAAAGCCATGGATGTGCTTTTGGAAATAGGTCAGATGTATGGCGGTGTGAGTGTGTTTGCTTATAATGGCCGAGCTGCGTTATTGATGATGATGGTGGTGATGATGATGCTGCTGATGAGCATACCGGCGAAAAAACCCTCACATTAAATGCCTACTAAATGATCAATTAAGATAAAGAGTGAGAGATAAAACATATGTATGGATGAGAGAAAGAAGATATTCGCATATAGTGCAAGAGTGAGAATGAAAAAAAAAAATACCATGACATAATCGATAGATGGGCAGGCTGGTGTGAGAAAATGAGAGCTAATCGCTAACCGAACAAATGAATGAAAAAAGCCGAAAAATCATCAGTAATGCAGCTTGTTTTGACCCGAGCATGTTTTATTTTGCATGCGCTGGCGAAATGCGACGTGCCGCTTTGGAGTGGAGGCGTGCTATCAACCCGGCACAGGTCATGATGGTCAACTTTCAATTAATATCTCACTATTTCTGCTTATCTCGCCATATGCATGATCATCAAAGGCTGATGATCTCACATGTCAGAGACGCTAAATGCTGCAAATGCACATGCACGAGCGCAAGTTTTTTTTCCCGTTAGGTACGAGCTGTTTCCAGAGCTTGTTTTAAATCAGTGATGCTTGCTAAAATCGAGCTAGCATTCCAGTAGAGGCTAGTGCAACACTGACCTGCCTTGCATTAATATGACCAAACGCAAATCGCTTACCTTTATCAGTACTAGGTCTCTCAGAGCATCAAATTCAAAGCATTAATTTATTTTCTCACAGATTCAGTTTGTGCTGGTGACTGTCTCAGTGATTTGCGGCTAGCCACAATAGCTTCCCTCCTCTCCTTTATTCTGAATGAACGGGAGAAAACGCCCTTGTTCTCCTCTCCCCTCCCCTCCTCCTCCTCATGTCCTCCTACATGGACATCAATTCTATGTGTGTGAATGAGAGGTGTACAAATTGTACCGTACTGGCCGACAGGTCACTGGGGTTTAAATGGTAAGGACATCTTATGCGTGGAAAAATATTTGAGCATCTCTCCTTTGCAAACACTACATTGATTCCAAGCTTTTCCATCTTGTGTATTTAAACACGTTGTGCTTCGCCTTAAACGGAGCTAATAATGTTACAGGAGTGGTAATTATGTTAAGAGTGAAAAAGGATGAAGTCATACTCGTGTTGGATTATGTTACAAAGTGCAGTGTGCCCTAAAATCTAATTTGGAATCTTATTTTTATGTTTCAGTGTAGCTTGCCAAACTTTGTGATATCAAAGACCAAATATATAGTTTAAGATTAGAAGACCACTGCAAAATCAGTGTCTCTGGATTGATTATACATGCAGACCTATCTGTTTGAATAAAATGAACATTTCAACAATTCAAATTTCACATAAAAATGTTTTCATTTGAGCATTTGTCATTTGACCATTTATTTGCAGAAAATGACAACTGGTCAAAATAACAAAAAAGATGCCATGTTTTCAGACCTCAAATAAGTTTATATTCATTTTTAAATAACACAATAGGCCTACTAATGTTTGAACTTAGGAAGAGTTCAGAAATCAGTATTTGGTGGAATAACCCTGATTTCCAATCACAGCTTTCATGCGTCTTGGCATGCTCCCTTCTGTCACATTACTGTTTGGCGGCTTTATGCCACTCCTGGCGAAAAAATTCAAGCAGATTGGCTTTATTTAATGGCTGGTGACCATCCATCTTCCTCTTGATCACATCCCAAAGTTTTCAATGGGGTTCAGGTCTGGAGATTGGGCTGGCCTTGACATGGTCTTGATCTGGTGGTCCTTCATCCATTCTACACCTTGACTGGCCTGGCTGTGTGGATTGGAGCATTGTAGAACATTGTCAGAGCAGAACAAAGCAATTTTTCTTTCAGGATAATATTGTACGTGGCTTGAGTTATGCATCCTTCGGAAAGACGTATCTCCGCAATAGCCTTACCAAAGAACCACCAGATCATCACCAGTCCTCCACCAAATTACACAGTGGGTGTTAGAGACTGTGGGTTGTAGGCCTGTCCTGGGCCTCTAACCATTAGAGGATCAGCTGAAAACTGGACTTATCAGAGAAGATCAGAATCAGGCAGATCTGTTTTTGTGAAGGACGCGTGACTCAAGCCACGTACAAGGTTATCCTGGAAGAAAAGCTTCCTTCTGCTCTGACAATGTCCCCAACTCGAAGGATTGGTTTATCTTACAGGACAATGCTCCAATACACACAGCCAGGCCAATCAAGGTGTGGATGGAGGACCACTAGATCAAGTCCCTGTCATGGCCAGCCCAATCTCCAGACCCCCGTTGAAAACCTCTGGAATGTGATCAAGAGGAAGATTGATGGTTACCAGCTGTTGAAAGAGCCATTGATAATATGATAAAACATATTAATATTAATAATATTAATTAAAAAACTGAAAAGAAAATTCGAAACAACGTCAGTGTAACTGTGTATAGTTTTCTTATTGGCTGGTTATGTTGTTGGAAAGAATCATTGTTATGGTCTCACCCTCTTGTAGAAGTGCATTTAATGGATTGTTGTTAGTCTTATGTTAGATCATACAATTGGTGTAACTGTGATGCTACAGTAATGTCCAGGTACTGTAATAAATGGTATCATTTGTATGTTCATCTACTGTTGTGTTTATATATAATATATGCTATAATAAAGCATTTTCACCTGACAGACATTTTGGATAACTGTGAATATGTCTTACCTAAAACTGATACTCACTGAGATTTGATTAAGACTCTTTATAACCCTGTTAGCTGTATTAAAACTGGAAATGAAGTCAGCTTGAAAACCTGTCTTACCTTTCTTTGGTGAGGATCTTCTTTCCATTTTATGGGGAGATGTTTGTACATGAAAGGCTGTCTTCATTTGCGATACTTTTTGAGTCTGGCTTCCCATAGCCACATCTGGCCTGGCTTCCATTATGTTTGTCCTGCTGTGATGTATACCTTTCTTCTGGATTTTGTTGCTGTCTCGGATGAGTTCGGAGACAGGTCTGTATCTGGACACTTCGTTTTCTTCTGAAGCAGAAGAATCACTGCTTGGAATTCTACAGGCAGCGTAATGATATCTGGTTGGGACTGCAGTGGGTTTAGGGTCTTCTTCATCCTCAATGTCCATCATGTAGCTTTCAGAGTCACGTCTACCATATTTCAAAGGATGTTCCACATTTTCCAAAACTGAGTCTTTGCTTGCTTGTATCTTTTCCATGTCTGTTTTAGCAAATGGATTTTGAGGCTTCTTTGGTACAGGTGGCGGTGGGCCCTTTATTTTTGCTCTTTTTTTTAATAAGCTTCTCAGCTGAGACATATCCATTTCGTTTAGTTCTCTATCATCGACAGTTTCTATCAAGTTATCGCAGTCAGGTTCAACAATTTCATCGTGTGGGGCTAAATAATATCTTGGAATATCAGCAGCCTCAGGCTCTATGGACATGCACATGTAGGACGGGGGCTCAACATAATAAGGCAACATATCAAGACATGATGCATGGGCATTAAAATCCTCAGCGGACTGCAGTGCCTCCTGCCTTCTGCCCATTTTGATATTTTTCAGCAGCAGGTCCAAATATTCGCTCGGCTCGTCTATTGAATGAGAAGCAGATTCCTTGCGGCCAACAGCTTTTTTAAAGGGATTCTTTGGTTTCTTTGGAACAGGTGGTGGTGGTCCTTTGATTTTGGCCTTTTTTTCTGTCTGAGCGTCTGTGGGTAAGACATCAGGGATCATGCTCTGTATTTCAGTGTGAGGAACATACATATGAGAGATGTCAGATGACTTCCTCGTCTCCTGATCAGGAAATGTATGAATCTGAAGTGGTGGTGTGATCACAGCCGTGAAATAGAGAGGCTCTTTTTCCCGTTTCAAAGAAGCCATCTGTGTGACTCTTGCGGCATCACCACCATCAAAATCTGAGTGAGAAAAAGAGTTTAAATTGTCAACAAAAATTTGATCTAAACATTTACTGCTGGAAAGATTCTCTTTGACCTCTGTTTCTGAACCATCCAGCCTGTAGATCTTTGGATCACAGACTCTTTTGCTCAAATGCACTTCTTGAATTTTACCTTTTTCTCCTGATAATTCAAATAAAGGTGAAGTATTGTGCCTTCCATTACGATGACCATAACAATCTTTCCTGCTTTCTATGGATTTCAACTGAACAGCTTTTTGATGATCAGATTTACTGTCTCTTTTCACACATGGTGCATCTGCTTCCCACACTCCCTTTTTGGCTGGGTGAGGCGCATTGCTAACAAGGACTTTTTTAGCACTGGATTCAGTTAAACTCTCAGATGACATGACTGCTGAGTGCTTTTCCATGACAGTGAATGCCCCTTTGTCATAATTTCTCTTCTCAGTGTGAAACAAAGTATTGCTTTGGCTCAAATCGGAATGGAATGTGCTTAATGACTTTTGTTCAGAGTCCTCCTCAATCCTTAACGGAACTAGAACTGAGTCTGCATTTGTGGGTTCAGTAACAATCTCAGAGTTAGAGTTGAATTTTGTCATTCTAGATTTTAATAAACAAAGTTAATCGAAGGGAGTATGCAAGATTTTGTCCTTACCTTCATTTTCACCCCATGCAGGATCTACTGTCTCTTCTTTTCCCCAAAATGGTGTATGGAAAGTTGGGTTTCTTTTGTCTTTTCTGAAGTTTTCTTTGGGTGTTACTGCAAAATGTGTCTGAGAGGCATCATAAGGTATTTCTTTTAAAATACATGTTGACATATCTGGACTGATATTTTTGTCCTCCTGTAAATTATCCTGCTTATTTGCATTCCGGAGCCACGGGCGACTTGAATGTGATTGGCGGATTGGTGGACACATAGTCACAGTCTCCAGACATAAAGAATCAGCTTTGTCCAAATACTCAAATCTGTCCGGATCAGGACTTTCTTTGTGTTGAACAGTTCCAGCACTTTCTTTGCAAACTTTTTCACAACTTTTTCTAATTTTAGCACTACTTAGGGTCTGAACTTCCTCTTTATCTTTACCCTTTGAAACTCTAATCTCCTGGAATGGCTGTCTTTCAAGTAAATTAGCATTTTCTGATTCCAAAGAGAATTTCTTCTTTATTTCAACGTTACCACCCATCTTTGTCATTGCCTCTGTGTCTAACGTCGCATTATGTCTGTCCACCAGCGTTTGTGTCTCATTCTTCTCTATGCTCACGGCATCATCTGTTGAGTCCCCCTGACAAGAACTTTCTAACATGTTTGGAGTATCCTTGAGGTGAGTTTTGTTAGTCATTCCTTCTGTTTTGTCAGGTTGTTGCTGGTCCACAGCAGTAGATATATCTGTGGCGGTTGCGTCGCTTGTGACTGTTTTGAATTCTGAGGCACATGGACCTCCTGCCAGGCTCAGTTGAGGATTTGGTGTCCTGGCATTCTGTGAAACATCCGTGTCATAACTCTAACTGATCTTTTTTCCTCCCTGGTTGAAAGAGGGCTCAGTGTTGTTGTCATCAGGTCTAGTTGGTTCCTGAGGACAGGGCTCTAGTATGGAGGTGTCCAAGTCAAAAGAATTCTGGTCTGTTTCTTCTGGGTTGTTGGAATGTGCTCCCTCCTCACTGTGGTTTAGGATCTCATAGTCACTAACGGCACTGGTCAGGACGTCTTCTTTTCCTAGCTCCTTGACCGGTTTCTGTCCCATCACCCCTGAAGAACACATATCACCACCCATGAGTTTATGAACAGACTGTATATCTTTATCTATAATGAGCCCCCTCCCATCTCAAGCTCTCTCTTGTTCCTCTCACATCACTTCTTTCAGGAATGTTGCAATGCCTAAAATTAAATGACTCTCAATGGGGCCACTGAGTCAGAGAACCAAAATGGCAACTGGCAGAGTAGATCAGTTACCAGGTGCGAAGGTCACATTAGACATGAAAGGGGAAAACCCATGGACTCCAAACATATCCCATGGCTCTTGACAACAAAACTACTGTTTCCATCTAAGTTGTGAGTTTATTTTATTTATTTGAATGCATTACAATTAAAATTAATTACAAGTAAATGTGTGTGTGTGTGTGTGTGTATAGTGAAATTAATTATTAACTTTCTCAAATTGACTTTCTGAAACTTCTATTGCCCAGCCTGAGTGGTTTGAGTGTAAGAAGTAACCCATAATGCTCAGCTTACCGTATAGGGTCACAATGTGTCTCATTGGAAGAATAGTCTATAAAGCCTTCCAAATATAAGCATATGATAAGGTTTAAGCAGGTCCTTTGTCCTCTGCCCTCAGACTTCAAGAAAGCACAATGTTTTACTTAAAAAATGATGTCATGCTACAGCATAAATAAGTAGATTCGTCATTAGCATATTTTGCGGGACACAACACAGCTTATGTATGCAGATTTGTCTATATAAACATGAATAAATATGGCTCTACATTATCAGGAAATGTCATCTCATTTTTGTCTCTCAGCATGATGGGATATTTTAAGGGTCCAGTGCTCTGTGTTGACTCTGTCTGAGAATGTCAGCTGTAGAGGTAAATGCTCAACTGGCTGCACTGCTAAATGAATGACAAACTTATATTATGGTTGTGTCATTGCTCAGGCACTGCGCAGGTTATTTTGAGGTTGATGGCCTCAGCTTGCAATAGCCCAAGCAGATGGGAAGGGCCATCCATAAAACCAGACTCTCTTCATTTAGCTTCATTGCCCTACCCAAAACAGTATGTGAATGAATTTGCAGGTTGAGCACAACGTTTAATGCTCAAGTAATGTCAACACACACAATTTCACATACAATAAAATAAAAAATGCAAGAGAAAAAATAATTTATTAGTTGTGTTGGATAAAACTTGTTTCATGTTGTAACAGTTATATTCAGTTAGCTGTTCTGTTTTGGCTATGTTTCATTGTGTTTTGGTTGTTTTCTCTGTTTGACCTAGTTTCCCAGTGTGTTTGATTTATAATCCCCTTCACCTGTTGTCTCATTAATTATCTCATTAGCTCTTTTGTTTGCTCTGTGTATTTAAGCCCTCAGTTTGAGTTAGTTCTCTGTCCTCTATTGTTTGTGATAAAATGAGTTTGCTACTTCTTAAGCTCCTGTTGTTTCCACAAGTGTTTAAAGTCCCCTTGTGGTGAACATCAAGGTTTTAATATTGCTAGACATATTGTAATATGCTTTAAGACAAATCGTGTAAATTTATAAGTCAACACCATTGCTGAGTATTTTCTCCTTCAAACTGCAGTGAAACAAAGACAGTCTCAAAAATGCGTTTTGAAATCGCTGGTGTTTCTGATGTCACAAACTACATTGTAACCAATCACATCAATGTGTGATCATCAACGAGTGGATCTCTGAGCTGGTGTGCAGCGTCTTACGTCAGCAGCGTCACTGAACGCGGATTGACAACAGAACCGGAAGAGAATACAATGCTGAATAAAGCATAGTTTAAATAGTTTTTGTTATTTTTGGACCAAAATGTATTTTCGATGCTTCAAAAAATTCTAACTAACCCACTGATGTCACATGGACTACTTTGATGATGTCTTTATTTCCTTTCTGGACAAGGACAGTATACCGTACATACATTTTCAATGGAGGGACAGAAAGCTCTCGGACTAAATCTAAAATATCTTAAACTGTGTTCCGAAGATGAACGGAGGTCTTACGGGCTTGGAACGACATGAGGGTGAGTCATTAATGACATGATTTTCATTTTTGGGTGAACTAACCCTTTAAAGGCATGACGAAATTTTATTAAAGGGATACTCCACCATTTTTTCATATTAAACTATGTTATTCCCTTAACTAAGACGAGTTGATACATACCTCTCTCGTCTAAGTGCATGCACTAAATCGCTCTGTCTTGCGGCGAAACTTTGATAGCACTTAGCTTAGCCCAGTTCATTCATTAGGATCCAAGCAGAGAAGCGACCAAACACCTCCACGTTTTCCCTATTTAAATACAGTTACACGAGTAGTGTAACTCGACCAAGAATGGTGACACAAAATAAAACGTTGCGCTTTTCTAAGCGTGTAAAATGGATAACTATAATGTATGGCGGAATACCATAGCAAGTGCTTGGGAGCACTTCGACTTGGTGCATATATATCTATGGACTCGGCGCAAGTAATATCATCACTCCGGAGAGGGAGAGGGGGAAGAGGATTTTTCAGGAGTGATGATATTACTGCGCCGAGTCGAAGTGCTCCCAAGCACTTGCAATGGTATTCCGCCATACAACTGTAGTAACTAATAATACTGACAGTAACTTGCGATTGAGCGGCGAACTGATGCGAATGTGCTCTATTGTTAGGGGAGGGGTCAGCCAGCCTCAGTGGCCCCAGTGCATCAAGTAGGGGCGTGTCCAGGAGCTCAGGGGCTCCAGTGCGTCATCGAGCATCCGCTTTAGCCCCGCCCAAAAAATCCTGAACACAGCAATGGTGAAAAACTGTTTAACGGTCTAACTCCACAATTCAGTACTTCACAGTCTTTGTAATATGTTTTAGCAATACATTTCTAACATTTATAATGTGTTTAGAATTTTTTTTTAGAATTGCCTTTACAGGGACTTTAAGGGAATAACATAGTTGAATATGAAAAAACGGTGGAGTATCCCTTTAAGGAAAAACGCTTAAATATGTAATTTTGGTGATGAAAAATTTGTTTTAAGGGATGAAATGATTGGGGGACTTTAAAAAGCAGATGGATAAACCAATTAGACTGGTTGTCTTTGAGCTTTTAAGACACTTATTTGGAATTGCTCACCCGCTATTCAAATGACAACAATCAGTAACTTTCCTTATTCAATAACTGTCCTTATTATCTATGCAAAACAATGAACTAAATGCAGTCAAACATGTCCTAACCAGGTTAAATGAATACAGAGACTAATATTGTATTTTTAAAACATAAAAAGTCAGTTTCGTTTCACATTTTAATTTTTCTTTGTAAATAGTTTTTTTTTCAAGATGACAATAAATCTCCCCCAGACAAGTAATTCACAAATACGTTAACATTTATGTATGTCTGCCCAGATTGATTACAATACAGCAGAAATCACATGACTGGCAAATGCAAATGTAACATGACTTAACATAAGCAATAGAAATACAGCTGACGACAACCTCACCGTGTTCATGTATTCCTAAGGAGAAAAATCCTCCCCAATGATGCAGATACGTCTTTGGATTGCACCAAATACACTAATTTCAGTCTCTGGGCTGCTCCAGTGTCTGGTCTTGTGATGTCAAAATCACATTTGCCTAATTCAATAAGATTTCCCTCTGTGAGGCACTCAAAGATCAGACAAAGCAACACTTTTTCTACATTAACGTGTCATTTACTTTACTGTCATTTTGCAGAAAATGTACTAAGAAGTTAATTATTATGTGCAGCACATATACATTTTTTTAAAATTAATTATCAACATGTCTCTCTCTCCTTATGAGGAACTCAAGGCTGTAAATAAATGCAATACTGGTCCATTTCTGATGCAGACAATAAACAATTTATTTTTTATAATTAACTGTACATTACATTATAAAACATAGTGCAACACAACTTAAAATGGTCAAAATTAAGTACAATATCTGATGTATGTTCCCAGTCTCTTTTAAGAGCCGTTAAGTTAGGGCTAAAGGCAATCTTAAAGTTTCTCTAGTTGATTTTATTGTTAGCTTAGTGTGTTCAAACATGTCAAAACATGACAATAAATAAATGACTTTGGTCTCTTCTATTCAAATATGAAATGTAGTATCAAAATGAAAAGACAAACAGCCCAAAAATAAGCCACAAATAAACGTTGCTCTATAAAGACCGCAACCAGGTGAAGACAAAACCTCTGTGAAACAAGCGGTTTGTACCGAAGAACTGTTTGATTGCTAATGGCAACAGGTAAGGCACTTGCATGTCTGAAGAAATGAAATGTCTTGTACTCAAATCAGCAGCAGCTGGGAGGAGGTATGAGCCATGAGCGGAAAACTAAACTACAACTTTAGTCTTTTTTGGGAGGCCATCTTTTTTGGCGATCGTAATAATTTTGATTTGCAGAAATGCCTCCCCAAACCTATACAGTTTGAAATTGGAATGTCCTCATTAAAATATGGGTGAAAAAATTAATTAAATAAAAAGCCAATATTAAGTTCCAAATAACTGGTAATTTACAAAAGCATTATGAAACAGGTGTCACAGATTTGAAAATAAAAGCCAGAACAGTTTCATACAGCAGTGACTGATTTCATGTGGACCATATGGGAAAAAAAGCTTTCACTCAAAACTCACTTAAGGTGCTTTTCTTTCGCATCTGATTTTCGTTCTTCTAAATGAAAACTAGTTACTAAATAAAAATGATTCTCTTCAAATTCTTGCTTACACTTATTGCACAGGCCACTTTGCATATTTAAAAACATTTCCACAAAAAAAGTGAAAAAAAAAAAGCTTAATAGACAACAAAGATAAATAACATTAATATATATGAAAAAATAATTAAGGTCAAGTTTAACCAATACTTGCAAACTTACTAGTTATCCCGGAGAACTTATCAAACTTTGTGTTCTTTTACACATATCAGACACCATCATGGTAGTAAAGTACCTATGGCCACAATATCATTAGATAACGCACTGCTCGTACCTGTGAATACTTAACGTACATTACTGTTATTATCAGATGCCATGATGTCATTTCGTATAGGAGACACTTCAAAAGGACCTTTTGATCAACTTGAAAACTGCATTGTACTAATGTGTTGCTGCTAAAGCCTTTTTGCACATCACAGGCTACAATTTGTACAATAAACAGCTTAAGCTAAATTACATAACAGGAGCTATGCCCTTGTAGCATATTTCAGATGTAGTTGATCTGATAAACACCAGCTGAGAAGCAAATTAGAGAATTGTAAGACAAATAGCCAACGACATTCATGTTGCATTCTTCTCTGGAAATAGACAATAATTATGTGGCTTTGTTGATGTCATTTTTGCAAATGGAAACATTTAAGGATTCAAGTAACTATCAGGTTGGAATGACACAGTGACAATCACAAATTTCAGACTCAACTTTAGTCTGAAATTACTTTTGTGGTGTGACATTTTGATGACAATTTTTTCACAAAGGTTTGTGAAGCTTTTAAAGGCAAAACTTCAAGTGAACAACAAAGTTTAAAATATTCATTACTTTGGGCTAAATTTTGTATCATGTTTTAATAAAGCCATTGCTAAAATGTTATCATGGTCATGCATCAGTATCTACATCTGAAAATGTCTATTATCATTAGTAAATAACACGCAGTCTAATTTGTATGTGCACTTTTATGGTTTGTGACAATTATCTAAATCAGATCAACTGCCTTTTTTGTCATCGAATCATCTCAAGTACATGATTGGTTTATCTGCAATAGCACATAAATTTGCTGGTGATCAAACTGGGAGGCAAAATTTCATCGATATTGTTGTTGGTAATAATACCCGCCAGAGGGCATTAAAATGGGCTTAAAAAAATTCAAACAATTTTAAATGATGGATATCAAACAAATATTTGAATAAATGTTTGAGTAAAATCATTGCTAATTTAACCAGGTCTTTATTATGCCACCTATAGATGGGCCACACGTATAGTAAACCTGTAACAGGTTGGGCTTCCTTTAGCAAGACAAAGAAATGCGATATCAACAAAGCCGTTAATGAATGTCCAAGCCAGAGCATGCTTTAATATATATCTTAGTTAAAGCAGACAGACACATGAAGAACGCAGTGCAGTTATGTAAAGGGCTGCTGGAAGGACGTCCAAGCCTGGCCTGATTGTTCTCATGAGGTGTCTTGCAGCTTCAGCCTCCACGGTTGCTTTCGATGGCTGTGGGACTGGAGCAGTCCCATTCACTGAGAAAGCAGTTCTGACATCGTTGAGTCAGCTTTTCAAACTCTACAACAGAGTCGGAGTTAAAGAGAGCTTGGGAGAGCAAGATGTTTCCCAGCAAAGGGAAGGCTCTTGCTCCTCATAGTCAATTGAGACTGTGGCAGAAAGCGTGAGGTCCTCTGTGGAAATGGCCAAGTCACCTAGCTTGGCCAGCGAATTAGACCTTTTAAGTTGGGAGGACACGGTCAGTCCGGCGAGCCGAACACGGGTCTCAATCTCTTGAGCTCTCTGGCGTACCAAGCCCGACTGGCCTCTCCGAATTCTCTGAAGACTGTCGCTGCTGGAGCTGCGCGTCAGGGATGAGCCCGGTGCAAGTGTTTGCTGGAATTCACTGGAGCCAGGGGGCAAGTTGTGAACGCTCCCCTCATCCACTTCCATGTCCTCCGTGGCAGTGTCCTCTACACTCAAGTCCATCTGTTCTGACTGAGGACCGGACAGTTGCTCCAGTCTATGGTGCACCAGCTGTGTCTCCGGCTGGGCCCCCTGACTGAGCTCCGCCATAGGCCTCTCACCACCCAGACTGAGCCTCAGGAGAGTGAGCTCGGTCATAGAACTGCTGAAGCTCCCCTCGTCCTCCCCCTCCATTTTGTCCTCAGTCTCCAAGGAAAAACGCAAATCCTGAGGAAGGTCTTCGCACCTTGGTTGCTTGAGGTAAGTGTCCGAGTTGGACCGACTGGAGCAACGAATGCACTGGCAGTGCCCGCTGCTCATGTGATGCCGAGGGGCAGGAGGAGGCACCTTTTTGTCGGAGGCGGGACTGAATTTGTGTCCTCCGGGGGCCTTGATGGAGAGACTGGGAAGGCCAGCATGACGTGGCAGGTTAAGGCGATGGGTGCGACGTTCGCAGCGGCGGCCGCTGGGCAGGCGCAGGCAGTCTCGGCACGACTGATATGAGGGCTTCACTTTGTAGGGGTTTCCAATGCTAGCACTGTCCTAAACCGATGAATACACACAGGCAGGGAGAATGCATGGTTAGGTTTTTTAAAGGTGTAAGAGTACGGGATGCTTTAGAGAAAGTAAAGCGTTTAGGATGGATTCACAGAAAAGAGCTCTTTGAGCTATAAGCTTGCATACAAGCCAGGAGAGCTGCCGCTACAGCTAAGACGTCATACTCACGTCAAAGCCAGAAGGGCAGCTGCGTTTCCCGGCCAGCCTGTTGCTGTTGTTGGCGTTCTCGTTGTTAAAGCGGTTCGAGTTAGCCAGGCTCCCGTCTTCCCTCTGCGTCTCCTCACCACGAGCTAAGGCAGCCATCTCTGCCTCCTCCTTTTGTGCTTCCTCCTCATCCTCCTCCTCCACCGTGCTGAACTCCAGCCGCATGCGCATGTCCTCCAAGGGCTCCAGTCGGCCGCAGGTCTGGGCTGCTGTCCCCTCCCCAGGAAGGGCCAAGTGAGCCATGGGGAAACCCTCATCGTCCAACAACGCATCCCTCTCCACGTCCTCAATCTCAATAAAGACTCGTTCCATGCCTAAAAGCGGAGGACCTCGAACTGGCGTGGAGGGTTCACTGTCCAGAGCGGTGTCTGAGAGTCGCCGGAAGTAGTAGTTATAATTTAGATGGTCTGTTGGCTCTTCTCCGCAGCAGGAGGAAGCACTTGCTCCTCCGTGGCCCCAAGCCATCTCCACCTGATCAGGGTGTAGCGACGAAATTTGTGGAGTCTGGTCATCACTGGCAGCTGAAGCCTGAAGGCCCTCCAGTGAATACTCATCACCATCTGGTTGCCAGAGTTTGTTGTGTCTCTGCTTGCTACAATGACAGAAAACAAAGGTAGCAGTCACCTCTTGATAGTGTGAAAAGAGAAAACACAACCAAATAAATCTCACAAAACAAAAAAAGCTAACGGTTTTGGTCCTTTTATTTCATGTTTGAAAGACTATGTGGTCACCAGTAACTGTGTAGGATGTCTGTGTCCCCACCAGGCTACTTAACAAACAAGTCTTTGTTGTTCAATCAGCTTTGACCAGAAAGACCAAACTGGTTGACTGGCTTCACCAGCACCAAACCATCATAAACCAGCATGTAAATTCATGCTGTTCTAAAGTTGGTCTTTTTCACATTATTCAATAATCAACAAACATACATATTAAAAAGTAAGATGCTCTGAATAAAATGTGTATGCTAAATTAATAAATATAAATGTAAATGCAAAAAAGGAACTTATGATGTTAAAAAGAACATGTTTCTCATTATCTTGGCTTTTCCTACCTGGCATCTAAAATCCCCTCGTACTCAGCCAGTTGTTTCATAAAAGCTGGATTGGGTTGTGCTATATTCCTTTTCTGTTTAACAAAACTGTGCGCCTTTTCAAGTGACCATCCATACTCCTTCATAGCATAAGCAATGACGGTGGATGCTGAGCGACTCACTCCCATCTTGCAATGTACTAGGCATTTAGAGTTGTTTTTCCTATATGAAAGACATACAGGCATCCGAGTCAAAAAAGGGTCCTTTATTGAGTGAAACAGCACATGACAGGAACAATAACACACTTTTCTAATATCTTTTTAACCATGAAAAGTAACTCACTTGGCTCTAACTATGAAGTTGTAGGTTTCGTTCCAATGCGCCAGCAGATCTGTAGTCTCATCATCATAAACACGGACGTTACAATAACAAAAGGTACCTGGGAAAAAGTTGTCAATCTCTCTTGTGACATTGAGTATATACCCCACCCTGCATAAAAATAAACTGACGTTAGACTGTATACTACAGATTTGTGTTAAATACACACATACTGTAATCTTAACTAGACACACAGTAGGTCGATATATATCAGCACTAACCCAGAGTCTTGAAGCTCCTCCAAGTTGGATGCATTCCATTCTGAGCCCTGAAATGAATGACATGCACAACAGCAATAGCTTTATTAGCTTCTAGAATCTTAAAGCTCCTGTCGATAACCATCATTTTGTTGTAAACTTAAGGGGTTCTTGTTTTCAGTAGATGCGACGAAGACCGATCAAGTTTTGAGCATGTGTTCAACAATTTTGATTTCAGTGTGAATATATGGCAATTAAATGAATACATTTCTAAATAATTGTTTCAAAATTAAGTAAAAAATTTAATATTTGTTTTTGTTTTTGACAGATAATCTTATCTGCAAGCTCCAGTGTATGTTTGTTTGAGAGAGTAGTGCAATGCATCAGTGAATTCAGGCTGTCCTATCAGTAAACTAGCAGTATGCGCTCTGCTTTTTAGGTAAGCAACAATCTTAAGCAAACAAGAATCAAGCATGGCAGAGAAATCTTGGAGGAAGCTTTACCAGGTACAGATGGTCAAATATGAGCGTAGCCTTGTCCATCTGGCCGAGGATAAGCAGCATCTCATTGTCAATAAACTCTTTATACTCCCTCAGGTTGCAACTCATATGTTGTTCCAGCTCATTTCGGATCTACAGAAGTGAAAGGATTCAATTTAATGCTCCTTCCATGGCTGATGCATTTATGTAAAGCATGGCATAAAAGCCTCATTACATATACCTCCTTAGAAGTAATATTTTCCAGGTCCTGAAACATCATTATGTTTCGGAGTTTGGCTTTGATCATACATTCTGTTCTCTCTCTCTCTGTTGGCCTGTTTATGATATGACAAGCAATGTCAATATATGCGAATTAATAAAGATTTTAGCCCCATATCAGAGTATTCAATCTTATAATCAGTTTATCAATCTGTTGTTGCATTTATGTAGCTTTGAAGATTTATCATAGAATTTTTATTTTATCCAATGTCATATTACTCACTGATCAGAAAACATGACTGGGGAGTCAGGCCGGGTGGTCTCTAGATCTGTCATGGCATTCCACTCATTGATACAGCTTTGCTCTGAAGAGATGCAGCTCTCATAATAGCCAACCCATGTAAGGGCCATCCCTCCAGGGAAATAGTTGTATCTACGGGACACCTCACATGCTTTGTGCAACATCTGGAGGGCGGACCTGCAATATACAATAAGTCAAATATAATAAATTCACGAAGTGTGTAAGAATAAAAAAACATGTTATAAACACACTATAAGAGGATATGTAATAGTTTGTATATTTAACTTTGAAATCTCTTTCCAGCATAAAACAACAAATAAAAACAGAGCCAACGTACCACATGGCCTGGACTGACACTGGCTTAAAAACATGCAGTCGTCCTGCTGTGCTTACACTGAAACCTCTGGGAGAAGAGAAGAGAAGAGAGGAGTTCAGGCATGTAAATTATGAGCAATGGCATCATTTGTGACTATATAGAAATGCATAAGCAGGCAGCAGGATGATTTTGCTTTCCCAGGTTGGTCAGTGGAACAATTTTACACCACAAATCAGTGGAAAATTCTCTCTGCATAGTGCCTCTGCTAATAGCCCCAGGTCTTTCTTTCTTTATTTTGAACAAAAAATAAAATAAAATAAAATATAAAAATACAATAAGTGTGTTGCAACATACCGAATGGAGAAACAATACCTAGTGTTATAAACAATAATTGCAATATGTCCGAAAAGGAGCGGGATGAAGCAGAAGCTTGTTATTTTTCCCACCCCTTATACAACTCTAAATATCACATGCACCGAGACCATAAACATGTTATTTCATACTGAACCTGTAGAGGTCATTCTCTGTACACATAACATATAGGGTGATTTTAATTTGTCCAAACATAAACAGGCTGACTGATGGCAAATTCAGATTATTTCAATGTGTATGGTATGTGTGAGCAATCAATAAAAAATAAATAAAAAAAAAATAAAAAAAAAAAGTTTCTTCCATACTCGTGCAACTTAGGGGGTTAGGGGGACTTGGATCCATCAATCAGCTGTTGAATGGATGGAGGCAGATCTGAATGCGAGCTTGTAGTGATGGGTTTTTATGAGGACAAAATTATTGAAGTCCGGCATTTGTCACCAGAGATACATTTTGATTAAAAATGACTAGCTAAAAAAAAAAGATTACAAAAAATTAAACATGCATGGATGATTCATTCACAATAAAATCAATAACATGCATTTTAACCTTTAGTGAACTAGGATATTTACCCATCTCCATCCAAGTGAATCTTGGTATCACTCCAAAGCGGAAGAGTCATCCCGATAGAGCAACTTTTACTGCAACAAACAAACAAACATTTGTGTCAACCAATCGGTGTGGTTATGAATAATAATGCAGTGAATGCACAAAGGGTGTTAGTTAGCACAACCCGGTTCTTACCTGTCCTTATCTGTGAAATCCATCCCAAGCAGTATGTTTTCTTCAGTGTCTTGACGCCCGTTTGTGTAGACAACCACCATGTAGCGCACATGGTCTGTCCATCCACTTTCTAACCTTACAACCTGTTGATGGAGACAATGTACATTGGTGTACACACGTTAAGAGCAGAAGCCATTCCTACATTGTTCTAGATATTGTGTATGCCACTTACTAATTTAATTCTATCCTCAGAACGGAGGGTGTTTATCATTACTTGTAGGTGCTGTGGTAGATCACCTTAAACAACAACAACAACAACAACAACAAAATGATCAATTAAAAGAAAAAACTCAGATAAGTAATAATCTTATGGGAAATAAACCACTATTTTCATCAACAATAACACCACAATTTAAAAGAAGTTGTTAATGGAAATGTGTCACACATCCACTTTTACTGTTGTGGTTCAGGGCTGTAACCATCATAGACATTGAGGGAGGCAAGTCCCCCCCAAATTGGCCAAATTGCCCATGCACTCCATTATGCACCGCTCTGTTTCTTGTTACAATGACAAAAAGTTTTAAAAGTTACATTTTAAGGCTGGTCTGCCTTAGTGGTCTAACAAGATTGAGAGGATTGAAAATTTCTAAGAAGGCAGCTTTTACTGTTCACAGAAACCGAACATGAACTTCACCGTAAAAAGGTGTGAGGTAAGATGTAAGTAGCTAAACATTTAATATTTGACAACTGTTTTACAATAGAAATGTTAAACGACTGACAGTAACTTCCAGAGGCAAAATATTTGTGACAAATATCACCATTTTGAATTGAAAAAGAAGTTCCTTTAAATAAGACACCGACCCCCACCCCACCAAAAATGTGGTCAACCCCAAATGTTCAAGACATTGTTCTGTTACTTACGACCTTATTGTGGTTTACCTGCATTTTTATGATGGGTGGGTGTTCTGGGCCCTTGTGCACTGCTCCCTTGCTGTAAAAACAGAGCTGCCCCTTTTACCATGAAGAAACTTTCACTCAGGCTGAAATAGGCCACACATACAATTATGAACACACTCCAAAATTAAGATTAATTATCATAGTTAAAAAAGGATTAATCTAAATAAGATAAATAAAAATAGCACTGACCTTAGGTTTGCTTTTCGATCATCATCACTGCCTAAATCCTGACAAATAAAACAGCAGAAGAGTAATTACAAAGGGCCCTGATAGAAAATATACCATATGAAATTACTTTGCATTTATTATAAACCAATTTTGAATGTCTCACACTTACATCATGGTTTGCAGACAGAAAACCATAAAAAGCTATAAAAAAACCTTTCTGATAGGATGGATCCAGAAATGCAAGCCCTGAACTGAAGACTTTAAATAGTTTGCAGAAACGTTTTATGTAAGACACAAACACTTGTGATAGACACAATAAAAAAATGAAAGCGTAATGGATGATGGGCATTACTGTAGGCTTTTGCTATAGTAAGCTAGTTCATTAGTGGGTTGTCTCTAAGAAGCTGCATAGCAAAATCTGGGGGGAGACATGACAATATTCTGGGTCCCATGATTGGTCACCAGGCAGAGTATCTATTCAATGACATCATTGCAGTGAGCGTACTGGGAGTAGTGAGAGGAAGACTCGGTTCTTTCGAACAGTTCGTTTCAAATAACCAATTCAAAAAACGATTCGGCTACTCTATTAAGTCATGGTGTAATTGCGTTAATTATTACGTTTTTATGCAATAGTTCAGGCAGGTGGGAACCATTATTTAGCCAACACAGTCATTTAGAACCTAATATTATTTTGCATTCACATTAAAAAAATGTATTTACATTTCTTGGCTGAAAATGTTTTTTTTTTCATGCGTTTAAAGAAATTATTATCTATTAAAGGCCACTCCATATGTGCTGATAATAAAACCCACACAAAGTCGTTAACATTCTAGTATGTTTTATTTTTAAGATTTCTACTATTCGGTAAATAAAGTAACATAATTTTGCGCTATATTATTCAAAGTCAAAATGCACTATGTATTAGATTACTCTTAGTTCATTAATCGCCCATGCCCGAATAGAGATCTAAATTCAATGTTGACTCGAAACAGTTCAGACCGATTCAGTCCGTTTCGTATTTGTTCAGTCTGATTCGTGAATGAATCGTTCAGACAGGAAGGATTCGACTCAATGAACGATTTGTTCACAAACGAGGCAAACGCTCAATTGGTAGTCCAGTAGGCGATCAAATATTAAGAAAGTGTTCTAAAGCATATTTGTGGTATGGCTGAATTGACCTATTTCGTTAAACAAGGCAAGTTTATTACTGTAATCCGCAACACAAATTAGATTACGTTATTGAATGTAATGGTAAAATAAACATTGATATTACACCCATATCGCCTACGGCCACTAAAGGAAAATAATTAGACTACCAGATATTTGAACCAACTACACAGTTTTTGTTTGTTTTGATTTTACCAATTCAACAATATATAAACAAAATCAGTATTGGCATGCTTTATTTTGTTTGGGCAAGTCAAGTTAATCCCCATCATCACGCGCCCGCGCTCTGATACACTGCCTGAAAACACCTCCACACGCTAATGTCAAAACTTCACCATGCGCTCATCACCTACACAGCAGGTTGAACTCGGTGACTTCTTGTAGTATCACATTTACACATCGTTAGAAAGGAAAACTGATCCCAGAGCAAAAGGCCCGGCGAACATTAGCTGTTTAAGCGCTATTTACACATGCATCCCAGGTATTTCCTCCGCCGGTCAGCCTCCACTCACCTCCCCCGCGTTGGTGCTGGCTGAGGATGCCGCGCTGGGTGTAGGGGAGCGCTGCAGAGTCACCAGAGCCATGGCTGAGCTGCAAAGCCTTCAGCGAAACCTCACAGGCGCTCCGGTCCGAAGAGGACACGCCGAGATATCCTGTTCTGATTGTGCGCCCGCCAGTGACGGGGTTAATGCATTCAGAGGCGCATTAAATCTATTTAGCGGAGCGATAAACCCATCATCGGCTTTGTCATCCACCTCGACGATTCTGCAAATTCTCATTCACGCCAACGATGCCAATAAACAATGGTCTGTGCTCTATCTTCGCGGCTGGACCGTTGATTTAGTGACAAGACATAATGGACCTTGTTTCGGGACCGCCGTCCGTGGTTGGTGTAGTTCTGTGATCGTCTGTGTTAGATATGGGCTTCTGGGCCAACCGCGTGAAGGTGACTTGCACTTCTCCCTGACAACAGTGCATCCTATGCAGACTCAACACCCAATCATCCACATACTAACAGAACCCTCATGATGTAGACTATCTCACAACTAACGTAATGCTTGGTCGCTAGATTTTTCCTTCCTCCCTATGACGAAGAGAAGGTTCAGCAACCAAAACTGAAGCTGTGTGTGTTTGTAATGCACATTCAACATCTGGTTATGATATAAAATAAAAAAAATAAAAATTGAGTTTTGTCTTTTAGTCCATGTCTGTTAGCTAGCCCTCTACTGAAATGTTGTCATGATGTTTAATTTAGCAGATAGGCTACACATTTAAAATTCTTTTCAATTAATGTGGGCTTATTCTAGATACTCTACTACTCTAGCTAGTTTTCTAATCCTAGAAAATCAACAAAAATATTGATGACTCATCCTGCACTACACAACGTTTTGTTCAATCAAATTCTCTTTAGAACAAGAATATCCCTCCCCCTTCAGTCATACAGCAAGTAGCAAATCATGGTTCATGGCTGTCACAATTAAAGTCTATTGGTGTATAGAAACTGAGAAAATTAAATATTGCGGAAATGTCACAGACAGGACAAACCAATATTGATACGATCCACCTTTATGCTAAAAGTATTAGACAGTAGGTGTGCATAGAGTCTATTGGAAAAATATCAAAGGACAGAAATCTACACTTATCAAACTATTTCATTGGATCTTTTAGTTACACAAGTACTTGGCATCATAAACGGGTTTATGTACCATTTCAAAAGAAAAAAGACCAGAAAGACAGGTTAGCATTTTCTCTCAAAATCTCTGATGAATTTTTCAGTGCGTTTAGAATGCACTTACACAACATTCAGTATACCAGCATGGCCTGATTATACATGTTTTTCTTTACTACTCTTCCTGACATCAAACAGTTTCAGCTTTCCATGTGCTGTTAAGGAGACGTGTTGCTGGAAGTCTCGGCTGTCTCAGAACCATGTGGCCTTTCCATGTGTTTTTCTTCCATGGTGTTTTGAGTTGATTCCTGTAAGCTCCGCCCGGTTGTTTCCATAGGCAAAGCCCAGGATGCCACTGTGCCCAGCAAGCAACATATTAAATACACAGACAGAGTCAGGTAAACTGATGTTTTCAGAAGTACCTGAGGGGGGATAGACACAAACATGCATCAATACATGTTCAATACACTTTTATTCTCCTAGGAATTTGTTTGAATGCTCTACCTGAGCAATAAATGGAGTGACGAGAGCTCCAACACGAGCCATCCCACTGCTTGTACCAATACCAATAGCCCTGGTTGCGGTGGGGAAAACCTGAGGAGGCCAAAACAAGAAAAAAGAAAACTGCATTTTAAATGAAAATTCTACTGGGACTGACTAAGCACAATAAGCCGCTTTGCAATTAAGCTTTACCTCAGGTGTATAAACATACGCAACCTGCCAGCCTGCTGTTATACAGGCTCGAGCAATGAAAATAAAGACTGTGAGAAGTGTCCTGGAAATAGTAAAGGTAAACCAACATGTCATTTACAGTGTCTTGAAAAATATTTAGGCTGTTTTTTTTATTTTTATTTTAAATACAAAGATTATTTGGGATACTTTTTAGTGTCTGTACAGCTTTTTTTTGATGATTTGATGAATGTACCTTTGTGTGCAGGCGTACAGTGGCAAGATACACAGAGAGAATGCTAAAAAGAAAAGTGCCATGCTTTTTCTCCGGCCTATTCGATCAATCATCCACACGGAGATCAGAATACCTATTCTGACATCAAGACATAAATCACACAGTTGTCTATTAGTTGTATGTAGCTTGTATAACAACGTTTGCATTTAGGTTGATTAACTAAAAAACAACACTTGAGAGGGAAGAATGACATATGGTGCCACATCACCTGGAAATTCTGCGAAGGTGGTCCACAGAAGGTCCTCATAATCATGAAGAGTCAGATATTTGCACTCAAAATTGCACTGAGGTTCCATACTTGAGTTGTCAGTGACTGGAATTAGACACAGTTTTACTGACATTCACAATATACACACATAATTAAATGTGTTTAAAATGTAATGAAATTGTTAAAGAAATGACATCAATTGAGTCATTACAAATCAAATAAAAACCGTTTTCACATGCCAGTTGTAGCAAAAAGATATTATTACAGACAATTTACACTATCGTTTAAAGGTTTGGGGTCAGTAGTCAAAAAAAGTGACAGTAAAGACTTTTATGAACTTTCTATTCAAGAATCCTGAAAAAATGCATCATGGTTTCCACAAAATATTAAGCAGCACAACTGTTTTCAACATTGATAATAATAGGAAATGTTTCTTGAGCACTATATCAGCATATTAGTTTGATTTCTGAAGGATCATGTGACACTGAAGACTGGAGTAATGGCTGCTGAAAATTCCTCTTTGGCATCTTATATTAAACATTAAAATAGAAAAAAAGTGTTATATTGTAATCATATTTCACAATTTTACTGTTTTTACTGCATTTTGATCAAATAAATGCATCCTTAGTGAGCATACAAGACTTCTTTCAAAAACATTAAAAAAAACATACTGACCCCATAACATTATTGTAGGTTAGATTTATGGTCCTGAGTTAAACACAAACTGTGTTTAGTTTGTTCACAATTAGTACTTAAAAACCACTCACCACTACATGTAGATCCTGCTTGGAACAGCTCAGTGGTTAGCAGCACAAGACCATAATATGAAAAAGCATTACATAACCTGTGTTAAACAAAACAAAGGTACGTTTTTAGAAGTTTTACTGTATGTGGAAGGATTTAACATTTTTTAACAATACGCATACCAGATAAACCAGATCAGAAGTGTCGTCTTGCGGTATTCTGGAATAAAAAGATCTCTAATTCTCCCACGATCAGTCTAGAACACATAAACACAATTCTTTTTGCTACTGTAATTTACAACATAAAAATCCAAAATGAGACATTCCACAATGTAGAGAAAAGATGTAGGACTGGCAGCTCCATATACCTGTGTGTTGGATATAAGTCTTCCTGTAGGCATAGAGCTCCCATTGGACGCTGCTACTCGTTTCAGAGTGTTCAGGGCCTTGTCTTCTCTGCCTCTCAGTACATCAAATCTAGCACTCTCTGGTAACCACTACATGACAAATGCACACAATCAGCATTCAAAGTGTAGAATTAATACAGTATCTAGAATTTCAGGCACCTGTACATGAGCCTTGTGTCAAGTAACAGTTTAAAACATTGTTACAGCCATACATACACAGCAGGAGGCAGCAAAGATAACAAGAGGAAAAGTGGAGAAAGCTAGCAGCCATTTCCAGCCTAACGTGGGCATGATCATCATAGCCAGTAACACTTCAAACACAGCACCCACGGCCCAGAACACCTATCAGGACAGCAGATTAATGAATGTTTTTAATGATCAAGATCATTATAAAAACATACTTTGGTAATTCTCATTATGAGAGAAAAAATGTTACGGTATATTTAATAATAACCTACAAAACATTGCCTCAGTCAGTTACAACATTAACCATCTAACTGAGAGCAGTAAAATTTACAGTAATTTCATACTAAAAAAATGTGTGCAATAGTTGAATAAACAGTGGTCTTAATTACCCCTAACAGGATTATGGATATCCCTCTGGTTTTCACTGGGAGGAATTCAGTAAATAATGTCACACTGTAAGGAAAGGAATGATTTTTTTTTTTTTAAATAATACAATTATAAAATTACATTTAAATTAGGGCATGAAGTATTATTAAAAATTAGCCTGGATGCCAGCCCGAACCCCGCCCACAACATTTTTTGGTCGGGAAGTTCGGTCTGGACTCGATCCATTGAGGAGTAATTATGATCGGTTCAAAATTAGTCGGGCCAATCAAATTGGCTTTATACGATGATGGACAGATGATCTGCAGTTACGTAATCATCACGTTATCAAAGAGCGCTTGGGTTGAACTGGTTTCCCTCAAAGATGACTGCAGCTGGAGAATTGAGATGTATAGATTCCGCTATCGCGTCTGTTGTAAAAGAAATCGACAGCGCATTCATTTTAAAAGACGAACGGAGAACTGCAATCAAGGCATTTGTCGATCGGAAAGATGTGTTTGCCGTCCTTCCTTCGGGATTCGGCAAAAGTTTATTTTATCAGCTGGCTCCGATGGTCACTAAGAAGATGGGACGCAATAAAAACCCTGTGGTCGTTGTGGTTTCTCCTTTGGTCGCACACTCGCACTCATGGAGGACCAAGTAAAAGAAGCAACACTCATTATTTTACTACTTCTTCCAGCGTGCGTGCAGTTGCGTTCTGTTGAAACTATGCTATGCAACTATGTAGCTGACTTACTGCGTTGCTCTGATTGGTTGTAGGTCTATCCAATTGAGTGCAGAGTTTTTTTTTTTTTTCCTGGTTCGGTTAAGACACGCCTCATAATCAAAGCCCTATGGAGCAGTAGGCAGTATCAGACATAGACATAATAAATACATAGACGCCCTATTGGCCGCTTTGGAACGTTGCTGCGATACGTCAACGGGTCCGCCATTTTGCGGAGGGCAAGACTGCACTGTAATTATTTTAATTTTTTTCTATTTGAATATATATATATATATATATATATTTTTTTTTATTAAATCTTAACAATACAAACAGTAAGACATACAAATAAAGTCATTAATACAGAAAACACAATATTAGACAAGAACAGAGCCAGGGGAAGTTTCAAATAAATACATTAAAGATAGAGCATAACTGAATGGTTTTAGCAGCCTTCTTATTTTGTGAATCATAAATGGATTTGATGTACTGTTCCGCCAGAGACTGCACTGTAATCAAATGTAAGTAAACGGATGAGCTGCGTCTTTTCTGGATAAAAACAAACTGTTTTTACATTTATCAACCGATTTCAGTGGTTTGTATGTGGTGTACAAAAAGTTCCATCTCTAGTTTTTTAAAATCTCGATAGTTAGACTTGTAAAATAAATATTTTTTTAAATAAAGAATGGTCAAAGCTCAGGCTTGTCATGTATTTGGCTTTTTATTCTTGGATGGTGAAGACCCCCATACTGAGATATAATTTAAGTTTTCTTATTGTGGAAAAAGCATTTTCTGTGACTGACCAGATTTTAGCAATAAAGATAACTGATGGATCCTTTATGATAATACATATGTTATGGTACAACTACAGTGCAATGCAAATAGTAAATATAACATAAAGTGAGAAGTAATAGTAAATAGTTTAGTCAATAAAATAAACATAGTATACAGCAAATAAAATAGTAATGAATAGTATAATTATATAATATCATAAGTACAATAATACAATCATAAAAATATTAATAATAGCATAGTTTATTAATAATACTATAATAATAGCAATAGAATCAGAAATATCAATTACAGAATATACACAATAAAAAATAAGCTAAATAGTGACTTTAATATTGATCTCTTTTTGTTAAATTTCAGTTTTATTGATCAGTAATAGCCAACAGAAGTAGCTTCAGTCAAACATACAGCAGGATACAATGTTAAAACAGCCTAAATATAAAGTTATGAAACTTCACTTTGCCCTCAGCCAAAACGATTTACCAGGGAACCATTTATAGATTAATGAGACCAAAGATCGCCCGTTAGATATACACAAGACGAATTATATCTCACGTTTAACCACTAGACTAGAGACATCCGAGCCAGCGGCAAACGTCAGAAGCACTGACCGAGGTACGGCTGTTCCAGGCGGGGTAGACGAGCGCTGAGAGCCCGGTGTTAATAGCATCTTACAACTCCGAAAACCGTAACGTCAGTTCACATTTTTAAATAGGCGCTATCTTTAAAAACAAACCACATATTTGAGCTTTAAACAACTACATTGTCGACTGAAAAACTATTAAAACTACATTTCGTGACACAATAACAGTAGTATTTTTAAATGTATCCTCTGAATGTTACTATTATCATGACCAAATTCAACCAAAAACAAACGTTCAGTCTTGCTTGTGAAAGGTAATTCCTCGAAAGCTGTTTTCAATTGTGTGGCGATGTGTACAGCCCCAAGCAGCGCACAAAACAGGCATTTTTCTCAATTCCCGGTATGAGAGGTATGGGAAAGTTGCCATCCCCAACATGGCGGCGCCGTTGACGTACGCTCCAGCGGCCAATAGGGCGTCTATGTATTTATTATGTCTATGGTATCAGACTCACATTCTGACTAGAATACGAGTATGAGGAAGTCAGGCTAATTAAACATGTAAAATTATATATAAAAGAAAAAAGAAAAAGAAACGTCCTTTTCTGCATACTGTATTTTAAAGACAATTATGTAAACTCCAAATAAGCTTTACATATCTTCAGTGGAAAGGGTTTAAAGTTTAAACAATGTTTTCTATAACAATTATGTAAATGATTTTTGAACTTTTTATTCATCAAAGAATTCTGAAAAAATGTATCATGGCTTCCCCAAAAATATTAAGCAGCACAACTGTTTTCAACATTGATAATAATGAAATGTTTCTCGAGCAACAAATCAGCACATTACAACGTTTTCTAAAAGTTTATGTGACACTGAAGATTGAAGAAATGGCTGCTGAAAATTCAGTTTTGCCATCACAGGAATAAGTTGTAATAATATTTCACAATATTACTCCTTTTTACTGTATTTTTGATCAAATCAACAAAAGACTTTTGAATTTTTATTTTATAAATATACAGAAAAACAACACAGCTGATTATTCTAGATCAACAAGACTGGTCAGGTTCTTCACAGTAGTGAGCAAAAGCAACACTTCACAGGTTTAATGGTCCCTTAGGGAAATATGGCAGTTTAGATAATTGTATTTTTAACAAGTGATGTAAAAGCAATGCTCAAAACATATTGGCACTAATGAGAGTACAATCATGTAGCACTAGTAGTCACAGTTTCAAAACGTAGTATCTATATTCAGCTTAATCTCTAGAACATAAATAAAAAGACCTATAAATAAAATGTTGCATCTGAGTGTTGCTCACTTATGAATGTGACTTATGACTGAGTGTGCACTGAAACCATAAGTCACACTTCATTGTTTGTTCATTGATGTAAAAACTCACGACTGAGGGGCTCCTCCCAGGCCAAATCCCACGAGGCCTCGCAAGACTAAGATACAGCCGTAAACAGGTGCAAAAGCACTGAGAAGCCCATAGTACAATGTCCACACCATGCACAGTATTAAACACTAAAAAAATGCAGACAGTGAGGTTATCAGTGAGGCAATAATGACTGCTTTATGTTTATAGTTATAAAGAATGCCTGCATTGACATTATTCATTTACTGATTTAAACCAAACATACCACTTTTCGGCCATACTTGTCTGAAATGTTTCCCCAAAGTGAGGAGCTGAGCATCATTCCAATGAACACTACCTGACAAGGTACGTCCAAAATAATAACAAGATTCAAAAGATTAAATACTATAAAAGTCTTGACAATACTAAGAGTATGGCTAGCATTAACCTTAAAAATGAACATATTCTTCTTTACACGATATTCTATCACTTTTCATGAAGCTATAGCCAAATTTAACCCCAGGAGGTGTTTAACCATGTTAGTGTACAACAGTAAATATACTGACCGCTGTTATGAATGCCACTTTCCAGCTCGAGAGCCTCCATTCACAGCGCAGTTGAGGAGCTGCAATACTAAGGAGCATCATTTCCATAGCATCAGCCATCTTTGCATGGAAATATAGGAAACAAGTTATGTAAACTGAGTGAACTGAACAAATGAAAGCTATTTGTTCAGTAAACATTAATTGTAATTCAAATGTCTTACCCACGCAACTCCAGTTAGCATAGACAGCTTCCACTGAAACATTCCAAAACCAATAGCCTCCACTGCTTCCTCCACAGTGAAGGTTTCTAGTGAAAAAGAAATACTCACTTAATGATGATTCTTCTGAGCTAGTATGTATTCAGTAAAAAGCGTGACCCTGTGAGGAATTAAATTCTGTTGACAAAGTAGCTTGAACTAACTGATAACCTGATCTATTTTTTCCCCCTGAAAAGCCCATGTGCCAAACAGATTTCAGTGAATAGTTTTGACTGTAATGATAAAAAGAGTCAGGCCTTAATAACCATTTAACCATTAAACATTTAACGCAATCCTGTAATAAAGAGAAATTGTTCAAATTGTGTGTTCATCTACAAATGTAGGATAGAGATGCCAACCTGACATTCCAGAGCTTCGGGTCTTGCTGTCCTCCAAATCCGCTTGCTTCGGAATAGTGCAAACTCCTTCATCACTAGGCTCATTATTCCCAGACTGCTCCTCATGAACCCTAAGGATGCGTTTTCAAAAATACAGCCTTTAGCCTTAGTACGGTTATAAAATCCAATGCAAACCTGAAACTGATTAAATATTTAAAAGCAATATTATTGAAGCTGCCCTAGACTTTCCATTTCACAAACCTAAACATAATTTAAGACTGCTTCCTTTGTCTGACCTTTCCAGGCTATGGTTTTCAGTTCTCAGTCATTTAAAAGTGTAAATCAGTTTTTACTATTTTTTACAAGTAAACACAAAACACACATGTACAGTATTACCTGATGTCAGTGTCTTTCCACCGTTTGTAAGCCACTTGCGATGATCTTGTCAACCCACTCATTTCCCTCTGCTATAATGGAACCCTAAACCATAACAGCGCATTTAGCAATAGAACAGGTTAGACCAGTGTACGACTCTGATTACATCAACATAACATCAGAGACGGTAAACTTAGGGAGGGAGGGATTCTTGGAGGGAGGGATTCTTTAGGAAAATCTTATTCATTCCCATTAATTTTTTTTTTTTTAGATAAACATAGTATTAGGGATGTTACGAACAGGGGAAACTATTGGTTCTCAACTAGGCACTTTGTTCTAATTACAATTTGCCCAAACAGCAAAGTAAATAACGGACATGATTTTAAGCACCACAGAAATTAAATAAAACAACTTACACACTAGTTCTTCTCAACCAGGTAGCTGCAGGATGTACACAAAAAAGTGTGTATTGTGTATTTCAAAAAAGAAATACACAAAAAGTATTTAAAATATTATATTAAAATAATCAAACTTGTGTAGCGTCTGGACCAATCAGACACACACAAATTATTCATTATATTTAACGACCAATCCAGCAAGCTCACTCTCCCAACAAAGGTCTGTAACCCATTCCCCGAAAACTTCAAAAATGAAGCCAACACACAGGTAGACCCAGTTCTCTGGTTACAGGACACATGAAGACTGATTTGACCTCAAGGAAATTGCAGAGAGTTGTGAGTCTCACTTAATTCTTCTTGAGAAGGAAAAATAAACCCTTTTAATCCTATATATTCTATATATAATCACTTGAGAAATGTATAAACATGTATCCAATTTTCCCATCTCATGATTTTCCTTTCATGGGGTTTGGCCTATGCATTCATTATCTCTTTTAAACTCTTTTGGATTAATGTTTCAGACTTGCATGGTTAACCAAAATCACGTTTGGTCTCTATGAACTATAATCTTTTTTCCCCATTTGTTCATTTACATTAGATTTTTCTAACTCTGTGGCGCATTAGTATTATAAGAATCTTGAAGGTTCTTTTTCACCCAATCAAGTTACATATTCAAATGCCCTGCTAGAATGCAAAGGCCTTGTCCACACTAATAAGTTTTCAATTGAACTTCCATCCACACTGAGATGCCGTTTTTATTAATAAAAAACGAACACTTTTTTCGCGTTGTAGAGTGGACTGTAAAAACGGAGGTATTTAAAAACGATGACGTAAGTTTTGTCATGTGACATTATTGTACCAATAGATATTCATGTTTATACCGGTAGTGTGCCTGTTATGTGCTATTCACTTTCTCACTTTTGCTAAAATATGTTATGCACACTCTTCATATCACAGTCCTGCAAAGATGACAGAAAATGTACTCACATTTGCTATCCTGTAGCAATACATGAGAGCAGTTGCGTTTTAGACCAAACATATGTTGACAGAGTGTGACCTAGACGCAACAGTGAATGGTGAAACACACTGAAACATCGGAAAACGCTACTGTGGACGGAGAGTGTTTTCAAACGAAAATGCCGTTTTCAAATGAAAATGCCGTTTTCAAATGTATCCGGATTAATGTAGATGACAGAAAATGTACGCAAAAGGATCGTAAAAAAAATCCCTCCAAAGGGAACAACTTCTCATTGGCTCACACTGCTTCACAGGGTGTGACATCTTCACACTTTAAAAATCACTGATCACAAGATCATGCCTGTTACTTCCGTTTTCTGAGAAGTCCTGATGTGAAGATGAAGATGAACTAGAGGTCTTCTAAGGACCCCCAAGCTTGTGCCAGGCTGTGGCCTTGTCTTTCCATTCACCAAAGATCCCCTGACACCCACTGGTTCTCTCTCATCAAGACAAGATCAACTGGAGCCTCAACAAATTGCATCAGGACAGTTTAATTCAAATGGGCGAGACAAGCAAGTATCAAACTCTCATTCTCATCTCATTATTTGATACATTAAGTATCCTTCCTTACCCCTTTTAAAGAATGGCGTGTTAGAACTAAACTGATGGTTTGCTCAAGGCTGTTGATCTGCTGAACTTCAAACAATGCTATAACTTCTTGCTTTCCTGTATTCTGCTTCAGCTCTCTTTTCCTTGGTAAACTGCATGTATGTGTATGTTAGAGTAGTAGTTTAAATGTTTAGTCTAGTTAATAAAGTCTTGTTCATGTCACACGTAAAGTTGTCCGTGTTTCATGCTAATATACTGGAGTCCCTAATCATGCAGATTTTGACTACATGCTCTGAGTAGTACTATACAGTAAGAAAGACATTTCCCATACCCCGGAAAAAATTATTAGAATTAATAAACAATTAAAGTGCCCCTATTATGCTATTTTAAAGTCTCTTAATGTTGTTTTGCAGTCTCCTACAACAGGTTTACATGCATCAAAGGTCAAAAAACTTAAAATATACATTTGCACATCACCACATTTTCAATGATTCTCAAACGACTCGTCGAAAACAAAACAAAAACGCCCATTGCCAAAACAACGTCAGCTCTGGTTGTACTGAGGCTTACTACACTGTAAACTAAACACAGTAACGAACAATGACGTCGATTTTACCATATCAATCTGAGCGCGAGTGCGATGATGAAACACTGGAAGAACTAGTTATTCAACCCGAACCTCCATCGCAAGGACGACTCGATCAGGACGTTTCTCAGTGATATGCTAACGTTACTCAGTATGAGGTACATTATGAGATGTTTGCAACTGTAATTCCTCACCATCAGCATTAACAAGTGTATGTCCATCAACAACCCGATTATTTTACTTGTACTGTGTTTCTATTTTATTATGGTGAACATGTGGAAACTGTATCAATAACAGTGCATACATTAGCCGAGCTCTAGCGTGAATGACTGATGTAACATAAACGAATCTTGCTCCATGCTTAATCTTTCCTCAAAGTAGTGAAAACGACAGACAATCTGCATTAATAGACACAGTTTTATGTAATAGTGGCCCACAACTGATTAGCATAAGTATTTCAGAAGTAATAATGTTAGTTAACCAGTTAGCAGGAGACCTACACAATATAAAACTCAAAACTAAGTATTTTGAACACCATCTTTCAAGAGCAAGCGGTTTGCGATTCCTGCATTAAACTCCGAGATTTGAGAAGCAGTCGTCAGAAAAATAAAGGGAACACAGCAAAAGTTTAGGATTATACTGCTGTGGTATCGTGGTAAAGATGAATTTTAACCACTGATTCTTCACATGCTCGTCCTTGGGCAGTGAAAAAAAAACTGGCTTTACCAGTTCCCTGTCACAATGCAGTAGACACAAGGAGGAAGCAGGATCCACATGCAGCACACTTTATTCAATAAACTGAAAACAATACAAAGACTCAGACCAGGAACAAGACTCAGGCGCAGTAAAACCAACATCGACAGTAACAACACAAGAACTCACAAAGACTGGACTAAAACACAGGGCTTAAATACAAGGCCAAACAAGCTAAACAAGATAACAAGGGGGCGTGGCTAATCTGAAACACCTGGGGAGACTAATAAACATGACAGGGAACTGCTAAACGAAAAGACAGGGGAACACAGACTGACATCACAACATAGCCCCCCCTCTATGGGCGGCTCCCGACGCCCATCAAAACCGGAAACACAGTTCGGGAGGGTGGTGGAGCGGAGGCGGTCCCGGGGGAGGGATGGAGTGCCAGGTTCGCGCAGGGAACGGGACCAGGGACCAGGGACCAGGGACTTGCAATGGCGGACCTGGGCCATGGAACGGAAGAGGGCCTGGAGACTGAGTGAGGACTGGTGGCCAGGGGGAAGCAGGCTGTGCAGGCGACCAGGGCGAAGCAGGCTGCGCAGGCGACCAGGTCTGCGCAGGCGACCAGGGCGGAGCAGGCAGTTCAGGAGACCAGGGTGGACTACGCAGTTCAGGGGGCCAGGGTGGAGGAGGTTGTGCAGGCGGCCATGGCGGAGAAGACCCCTCGAGTGGCCCTGGCGGAGAAGACCCCTCGAGTGGCCCTGGCGGAGGAGACCCTTCGGGCGGCCACGGCGGAGGTGACCATTCGGGCGGCCACGGCGGAGACGACCATTCGGGTGGCCAAGGCGGAGTAGACCCTTCGGACGGCCATGGCGGTGAAGACTTCGGGCGGCCATGGTGGAGACGACCATTCGGGCGGCCATGGCGGTGATGACTCTTCGGGCGGCCACGGCGGAGTAGACCCTTCGGACGGCCATGGCGGTGAAGACCCTTCGGGCGGCCATGGTGGAGACAACCATTCGGGCGGCCATGGCGGTGATGACCCTTCGGGCGGCCATGGCGGTGATGACCCTTCGGGCGGCCACGGCGGTGAAGACCCTTCGGGCGGCCACGGCGGCGCGGCCTTCATGGTCACATTGCGGGACCTACTGCCCCCCCCCCCCCCCCAATTTTCTTGGGGGCAGCTACGGGGTAATAGGCTGGTGCAGGTGCCGGCTCTGGAACAGGAACAGACCGCGTCTCAAGAACAGACACCGGCTCAGCGGAAGTGACGTGAACAGTTCTGGATCGACGGAAGTGACGTGAACGGTCTCTGGATCGGCAGACGGGACGTGAACGGTCTCTGGATCGGCAGACGGGACGTGAATGGTCTCTGGCTGGGCAGACGGGACGTGAACGGTCTCTGGCTGGGCAGACGGGACCTGAACGGTCTCTGGCTGGGCAGACGGGACGTGAACGGTCTCTGGCTGGGCAGACGGGACGTGAACGGTCTCTGGCTGGGCAGACGGGACGTGAACGGTCTCTGGCTGGGCAGACGGGACGTGAACGGTCTCTGGCTGGGCAGACGGGACGTGAACGGTCTCTGGCTGGGCAGATGAGACGTGAACGGTCTCTGGCTGGGCAGACGAGGCATGAACGGTCTCTGGCCGGGCAGACAAGACGTGGAGCGCAGGCTCGGCAGGGCTGACGTGGAGCAGTTCAGGTTTGGCAGGACTGACGTGAAGAGCAGGTTTGGCTGGACTGTACGGGACCAGCGGTGAAGGCTCTGGACTGGACGGGACCAGCAGTGAAGGCTCTGGGGGACGAGACCCAGGCAGGACGGTCTCGGCGGGAAGAAGCTCAGGCATGTCGTGAAGAAGCTCAGGCTCGGCTAGGCTGACATGAAGGAACTCAGGCTGGACAGGCTCTGTAAGGCTGACGTGAAGGAACTCAGGCTGGACGGGGCTGACGTGAACTGACTCAGGGGGTACTGTGAGCTTGCGGGGTGTTTCATCGGCCAAGCCCACAGTAAAAGCTGAACCGCTCAAGTAAAGGGCCAGGTCTATATACCCTTCTAGGGTCCAGCCGGTATAGTCGTCCGGCATCCGCTGAGCAATATCCGCATCCAGCCCGCTCCAGAACAGGTCCAAGAGCTGGGTGTCATCCAAGGATCCCAAATGACAGCAATTCACAAAGTCCCTTACATACCACTCTATCGGCTGTCCGTCTTGAAACATTGAAGAAAGCATTCTTATTAGCACTCCATTGCTGGCAACTGCTGGATCCATCTTTGGTGAGTTCTTCTGTCACGATGCAGTAGAAACAAGGAGAAAGCAGAATCCACATGCAGCACACTTTATTCAATAAACTGAAAACAATACAAAGACTCAGACCAGGAACAAGACTCAGGCGCAGTAAAACCAACATCGACAGTAACAACACAAGAACTCACAAAGACTGGACTAAAACACAGGGCTTAAATACAAGGCCAAACAAGCTAAACAAGATAACAAGGGGGCGTGGCTAATCTGAAACACCTGGGGAGACTAATAAACATGACAGGGAACTGCTAAACGAAAAGACAGGGGAACACAGACTGACATCACAACATTCCCATTGTAGAGCACAGCATCTTCTCGACATGAAGCTATTCAGTACCCACAGGAATCAGCTGCCGGTTTGAAGGGGTTCAAGTTTTCCCTGGTGTCTGCGCGCGCAATAGTGGGTGAGCAATATGCTAATGTTTTGTCTTGAAGGAACATCACCTGCAGCTCAACCTGGCAAAGACTGAGCTTCTCGTCCTCCCTGCCAATCCGTCTCTACAGCACGACTTCACTATCCAGCTAGAGTCATCCTCAATCACCCCATCAAGGTCAGTCAGAAATCTTGGAGTAATATTTGATGACCAGCTGACCTTCACAGACCACATTACAAAGACAGCTCGATCATGCAGGTTTGCAATGTATAACATCAGAAAGATCAGGCCTTTCCTAACTGAGCATGCAACACAACTTCTCGTCCAGGCCCTGGTTATTTCTAGGCTTGATTACTGCAATGCTCTTCTGGCTGGACTTCCATCATGTGTTACTAAACCTCTACAAATGATCCAGAATGCTGCAGCCCGCCTTGTCTTCAACGAGCCCAAAAGGGCCCACGTCACTCCGCTGTTCATCTCCCTGCATTGGCTGCTGGCATCAAATTCAAAGCTTTGACGCTTGCTTACAGATCTACCACAGACTCAGCTCCGTCCTACTTTCACTCCCTACTACAAGTCTACGTCCCTACCAGAAGCCTACGATCGGCCAAGGAGCGACGGCTCGTGGTGCCATCACAGCGAGGCACTAAATCACTCTCCAGAACATTCTCATTCACGGTTCCATGCTGGTGGAATGATCTCCCCACCCTCGTCCGTAATGCAAATTTTTTTTTTTTTTTTTTTTTATGTTAAGTACTCACGGAAGAGATGAGTACTTAACATAAAAAAAAAAAAATTTAAAAAAAAAATTTATAATAAAAAAAAAAATTCTTCTCTTTTAAATCCTCCCTTGTCTGGCTTTTGCTACTCTGAGCAATGCCTGAACTTTGTATTTTGAGCACTTCTTGCATCGTTCTTCCCTCTTCACGATGACTCGCTTGCTTTAGTCCTCAGATGTAAGTGCTTTGGATAAAAGCGTCTGCTAAATGACTAAATGTAAATGTAAATGTCTTGACGTCACAATGAAACATCTTATGACTCGTTTGAAAAACGATTCATTTCATTGACTCAGAGTCGACTCTTACTTTTGGAAGATAACTTTAACTTTATAACTTTATATACGGTGCACTTTCAGATTTAAAACTTTGCAGGATGTTTTCATTCACTTAGAGCTGTTAGTACTGTTACATACTACATGAAAGGTCATTTTCAAAAATCCATAATAGGGGCACTTTAACACTGAGTGTTCACGGTACAAACAGGTTTATTGATTGTAATATATTTTTTTACTATATTGAGTTAATTCTATTAACTGATCCAAATATTCATAATTAATTATAACAAGTTATGATTCTTTTTTTTTTTGATAATTTGCTATATTGAATCTAAATGTGGCAAGCAGAGTGGGGTTACAGTTGTTGTTGTTGTTGTTGTTTACAATCATTTTGGCACCAATTTCAGAAACTCTAGACACAAAACTCAAAACAGTCATAACTTGTAACACAGGCTGTCCGATGTTCAAAACTCTGCATTGTGCATTCATATTTTTTAAAGAAGCCGTGCACTTGCAGAATCATTGCTTCAAATAAATAATTTATCATGAAATATCATAAGGAACATTATTTTATATCGCCCACAAACAAGATACCCATAGTTTCAATGTGTTGTAGTTAGTACAATCGTTAAATATTGTTATACAAAATATGTGATGCAGGTATTATTATGGTTCTACACATACTGTAATAGGACTAGAGATAATAGTACAGACACAGCGGAATCATTGAATAAAATCTGAAATTTATTGATGAAATAATCAAATTAATCAAAGGAAAAATTTAGCTACAAAAAATAAAAACTACAGTTCAGTAAAATGTGAACTGCAGTGTACCTCACTGCACCTCTGTTTCCATCAACCCTGTCTTGTGGATTTGGCCACAGGTTCTCATCCACATCACAATGAATGTTGTCATTAGCTAAACATCTGGAAAGAATGTTATGGCATGCATGGCGAATCCAGGCCTGACACAGTGAAGTCATTGCATGCGTTATCCATGGACTGGAGAAGAGTGATTTGTACGTGAAGGTGCCTATCATTTACCTTTCACCTCCATGTGGAGAAAAATTCCTCAATGGGGGTAAGGAAAGGACTAAATGAGGGTAAATATAGGGTGATAAATTGAGGATGGGCCCCAAACCATCCTTCCACCATTTGAGCATGGTGAAACTGAAGATTATCCTAGACTATTACATACACCATCAACTCTACAAACCTGATTTAGCTCATCAAGGAAGGCTACAAGGAGAGCTGCATTATACGACCCAATACGAGGTCTGCGTCCTACCACACAATCTTCAGATATAGCCAGACACATGGTGATGTTGGCTCCACGTTGTACAGGCACTTGGACGGTCAATTCGGACCTTTCCTCCTTGCCTTAGCTAGCTTTGACCACCACATATTCCTTGTCTCCCACCTCCCATTGCTGGCTCCATGTTATCGCTATGTTGAGTGTGATACCACTCATCTCACTATATATGAGTGCCACAATGTGAAATCAATCACCACTCATAAGTTGGCAGTAACCACAAAAGCAATTACAAGGGCCATCTTGCATACAGCAATATCAAATCTGAAAATGTGGTCTGTAAAAGTGGTACATGAGACTATAGAAACCCTGTCTGATAAAGAATGATGATGAAATATTACATTCATACTGTAGATAATGTAGTCCAACTGGGTCATGTTCTATGGTAACTGGTGTCAATTGATCTTGTTATCCTGAAACGTTCACGATCTAAATATGGAAAATTGTTCATCAGTTTCCATAAAAACTATGCATCAAGAGTAATGCAACAGTTACTTATCATTTTGAGCAGTTGTATCAATTGAAATTTAAATCATTGTAATGAAACGAATAGACAGTCATCTCAAAAGTAATGTGTGAGTTCCATTTTGAAATGGTAATACTTTGATGTCAAGTTTTGTCATTTTGAACAGGTGATTTTAGTTCAATGAACAATTGATCTTAGGTTTATGTGCATTGTATCAAAGCAATTGTAAAACGTGTTTAGAGTTTTGACATGAAGGTTCTGATATTAGTGCAAAAATGATTCCATATAACGGTAAGAGCCGTGGCAATGGAGTGAGGCCGGTGGCGCGAGTGCTAATGAGCGTCACCTGTACGCCACACCGGTCTCAAGCCCCACAGAGGAGCTCCAGAAGGATAAAAGGAGGAGTGATGACAGTGCAAGACGAGAGAGTACCAGGGGAGTATTTCAGAAAGTAAGGTTACCTTACTGTCAAACATACCCTGAACTCTTGGTTGATTAAACCAAACCTTGCTTACTCGAGGTATGCTGGTTCCAAAAATGCGTCCGGGAGTAAGCTTAGCCAACTATGTTCAAATATAGTCAACTATGTATGACGTTCTCAACAGAGTGACGAATTGACGAGTCACCATGGAAACGGGCGCTAAGAAAAATGCACCATACTACTACTTTCTTCTTCTTTTGTTAAATGGCTATTTAAATAGTGCATATCGACACCTATTTGGTGGTTGTGCAATCATTTTTTCAATCTTTTCGTTTAATAATTTTTAATCATTGTGAATAAGAACTATATTGTTTGTTTGATGCTGATTATAAAACAAAAAAGACTGATTAAACTAAATAACAGTCTGTGCTTGCAAAGATAACATGGCTGTAAAAGTAAATTTTTTATGTTTAGTCATTTTGCGTCCACGTCCTGTTGCAAAAAAAAAAAAAAAAAAAAAAAAAAAGAGTATTTTTTTTACTCCAGGGGGGTACTCCAGAAAGCAGGTTATGTGACATACCGGGGAATGCAAGCAGATAACCTTTCGTTTCCAAAAACGGAGGTAACTTTTTAGGGTCTGCTCTGGAGCAGCTTCTGTTCCAGGGTTAGTTTACTTCAGAGGTGTTCAGCACATGCATGCCCTATTGATGAAGCTCCAGTGGGCATGACAGAATGCGCACAATATTATATAATATATATATAGTATATATATATATATATATATTTCCTTCTATAAATAACTATTGTTTTTATTGAAGAACATACAGTTCTGTAATAAATAACTTCTAATATATTAATATAATTACCCCACATTAGTTCATTTAATACATCAATTAAAAACAGGCAGCCTTGACATAATTACAGTAGAAATACTGGAAATATTTTAGCATATGGAGCATATGTCTTGTACAATGGGAGACTTTCAAGTCACAAAGGTTGAACTAGAGTCAATGTTACCAAGAGAGATCTCACTTTTGGTTAAAAATGTTCATGTTTTCAATAATTTAAACAGGTAATATCACTAGGTCTGACATTTAGTCATATTTAAACACAACATGTGCAAGATCATGTGACCTGTCATGTCTATGTTCAGCTAACAGTTACTGTCATGGTTTAGGAAACACGGTTTAGGGTTGAAGTTTCGCTTTCAGTTTTGCAAATGGCAGAGCGAACCTGAATTTGCATGACATGGCAGCATAACAGTGATGCAGCAGTATTTAAAAAACGCCAACAGTGCATACACTTATCTTGCTTTGGGCATGTCAAAAGGTAGGTTAAGTTTCTGAGAAAGTCCAACAAGCTCTGTATTTAAATTACTGTTTCAGGTAATTAGTGTAAAAAATTATGTATTCAACTTTTATGCATTTCCTAGGCCTTCATATTTTGGCAGACCACGTCTACAGTCCTTTCATAAAGAGTGCTATACTGAGTGTGTGCTATTCCTGTTTTTTCCCCCTGTGAATGATACAGCATCCTGCAGAAAACAAGTTAGTGGTGAGAACATGCAGCTGAGTGAGGAGCAGCTGCATCAGATAGAGCAGAACAGACGCGCCGCACTGGAACGACTGGCCAGACGAAATGTACCTGTACCTGTTGGTGAAAGCTGGCGAAGACAAATTGGGACTGAATTTACAAAACCTTATTTTACAAAGGTAAGTGATACGCAGTGTGAGACATTATCAAAATAACAGTAAGAAGAGAAAGTAAAAAAAGACTTGTTCCTGTTTTGATTCTTTTTTCCAGCTAATGTCTTTTGTTACAATGGAGAGGAAATGCTTTACTGTCTATCCCAGCCCTGAGCAGGTGTTTTATAGCACAACTTTGTGCGCAATTGAAGATGTAAGTTCCTTAATATATAAAAAGGGAGAGGTATAAAAGATAAGTGCTTTACAGTGAAATTTCAATATACTACAGGTTGTGTTTGTGTTGACAGGTAAAAGTGGTAATTCTTGGGCAAGACCCCTATCACCATCCAGGTCAAGCCCATGGTTTGGGCTTCAGTGTGCTCAGGCCTAAACCTCCTCCTCCTAGGTACAGCATTGTACTGAACTGTGAAAATACCTATTTTTCAATCATCTGACCAAAATTAAATCTTAGGCAATTCATACAGAGCGTGTTTTTGTGGTTAAATGTGCAGGACGCACAACAGTGCAACGTAAAAAAACAACAACAAGGTCTAGAGACGCGTTTAAAAAAAGATTTTCTGTTAACTTGAGCCCTGCATTTTTAGAATGGTGTTTCATAAGTGATACGCTGCAAAAGAGGCAAGACACGAGCGCAAATATCAAACATGTCTGTCTTTACATAAAAAAAACAATGGAAAAGGAGCATAGTGGAATGGAAAAACGTTTACTGCGTGTACAGCCTCTTACTGTAAATATCTAATGAGAATTCTGTATTTCCATATTTGTTTACTTGCTTCACTTATTGCAGTTTGGAAAACATATTTAAGGAGCTGACAGAAGATATTGTTGGTTTCCAGCACCCAGGTCATGGAGACCTCACAGAATGGGCTAAACAGGGTAGGTGATCAACATACAGTACCGTTCAAAAGTTTGGGGTCAGGAAGATTTTTTTTTTCAAAGTCTTGATACTTTTATTCAGCAGAGATGTATTAAAGCTGCAGTCCATACCTTTTGGTGCTCTAGTGGTTAATAAACAGAACTGCATGTGTCTAGCTTTAAATTGATCAAAAATTACAGCAATGACATTTATAATGTTAAAAAATGTTACAACTGTTTTGAACATCGATAATAATAAGAAATATTTCTTGAGCACCAAATCAGCATATTAGAATAATTTCTGAAGCATCACATGCCACTGAAGACTGGAGTAATGGCTTCTTAAAAAGTAAGTTTTGCCATCACATTTTAAAATATTTTATTTTTGATTGTATTTTTGATTTTAAAAATGCAGCCTGGGTGAGTATAACAGCCTTCTTTCAACAACATTTAAAAATCTTACTGACCTCAAAGTTCTGAACAGTTGTGAATGAGCCTGTTACAAGTTATAGCATCATTTGTAAAGAAAGCTAGACCTAACTGATTTATTAAGTTGACTGTAAATGTTCTTTCCATTGTCAGGTGTTCTGCTGCTGAATTCTGTGTTGACAGTGAGGGCTCAACAACCCACCTCTCATGAGGGTCAAGGCTGGGAGCTCTTCACAGATGCTGTGGTCCTGTGGCTCAGCAGGAACCTCAATGGCCTGGTCTTTCTGCTTTGGGGCTCGCATGCTCAGAGGAAAGGCAGAGTGATTGACAGAGTAAGTTCATGGAGACACAATTATGAAATGTAAATATATTTATCAGGAATAAAAGGTTTTTACTTATTAAAGACGCTGAATGCTTACTGTTATACCTGTCACGGTGCAGTTGTGGTATGAATAATCACAGTTGATTGTAATATTGCAGTTATACAGTGGCACTGGTAACTAAAAACTGGACCTTTAAAAATCATTACGAGGCAGTAGTTTTAAGGAATATCTGACTGGCTGTTTTTCCCCCCCAGAAAAGTCATCATGTCCTTGAGACTTCACATCCATCACCATACTCGGCACATTTTGGCTTCTTTGGATGTAGGCACTTTTCTAAAACTAACATGCTACTTAAAGCAACAGGAAAGAGTCCGATTGATTGGACAGCTCTCTGAAATAATATTGAGCTATTTATTCTTTAAAAACTTTTTTTTTTGTATAACAGAGGGGCTATGGACATTCATTATTCTACATTACAGTTAAATGTGTTGCATTTTATGCTGCAGTTATGTTGCAAATAGGTCACAACTCCCTGTAGTGAAGTTGCCCTTGTAATCATCATGCCAGTTGTTATAATGCAAATAATTACATTATTTGGACAATAAATTAATACAGTAAATGAATGTAGTCATTCATTAGTGATATTAGACAAAAGGAGTGTTATTTTATGGACTGAACACATATGTCAGCTTCAAATTAAAAACTAAAAACAAAAACCTGTTAGATAGATAGATATTTAAACTAAGATGAAAGATATTAAATCAAAATGCTCAGGATGAAAATGTGAATGTGATTTTAAGATATCATTTTGGACAGATAGAAGTAGCAGAAAGAAACATATAATAGCATTAAACACAATCCTCAAGTATTGCCCAAAATGTTAGTCATTTTTAGACAACGCAATGCTGATTTCAATAGCTTCTTTTGAATTGTACAAAAAAATCACAATGTATTGTATATAGATCACACCGTGTAGTCTGCCTTGAGCATTTGGGAATGAGGCCAGTCGCAAACTAAAAAAAAGAAAAGAAAAGAAAAATAGGACACTACGACAGCACATGTAGAGCATGTTTCATAGTGGGATGTCCATAAATTCAGGTGATGCAGCCATAATAACCAGTGTCCCACTTCAACTCTTCTTGGACCTTGTCGTTTTTTTTTTTTACTCTGGACACCAACGCACAGACAGTACGGTACCTCTCTGCACCACTGGCACTGTCCCATTCTCTCCCGGGACTCTCAATTGAAACAAACCAAGCAGGACGTGAATTTTGTCTTCCTTAAAACATGTACTGCCTGAACTCTAAGGTAAGATCTACTAACTGCTCAAGCTTATTTCTTGATACTGGAATACTGAGCGTAACCTATGTGTGTGTAGCTATTAATTTCCTCCAGTGTTTACATTATAAACCTTATAACACCATGTAATGTTTGAGGATCTACTATCACGGTCAGTTTAGTTCCTATTTATCTGAAGTGTGTTGTTTAGTTACAAGAGGGCATGTTTTACCATTGTATCAGCTTGCACCACTAACGTATAAATTAGGTCAAAGGTGTAGTCGGGGATACTAATTAGGACTAGGAACATTAACATGGCCACGTTGTGTGGAATATCCGATCTTTAGGGCTATGCTGTGATTCCACGGATCATTTTACACCATGATGTATTGATTTGCTAATTGATGTTCAATGCATTTACCTTTTGTTTTAATGTATTCTTTTATTAATTTAAAAATGAAATGTTTTGAAGCCACGTGTTATCAAAAGGTAAATGATTAGTAATAAGATGTTGTGGAAAGTTAGTTTACCTTTGGAATCTTGTCTACAGCGAAGTCATTGGAGAAAAATCCGATCGGAATTACGAATTTGAAATAGCAAACGGTGTGTGATACTATCAAAACATTACTCCCAACGTAGCAACATTACCCCAGCCAATGGCATTAGTTCGGGGGCGGTCCTATCTGTTGGGCTGACCAATTAGATGATCAGGAAACATGTTTGGAAACAGGTAGGGACTTTGCAGTTGCGTTTGGCAGTAAACAAACTTCAAGTTTTATTTTTGTCATTATTATTTTTTTTCATAGTAGGAGTAGGAGATAATGATGTGGGCGGAGGAGATAAATGTCAAACTGATAAAAGCAGAGTCAGGCTTCAGGAATAGGCTATAGCCTACTTCACTGGAAATCCCAGTAGCACCTCAATGCAGTACATGAGATCCACGGGGAGGAGTCGGATCCAGATCCAAGGGGTGGAGATGGGTAGGATTAGGGGTGGGTTTAGGGATTAGGGGTGGGTTTAGGGATCAGGGGGCGGAGATGGGTAGGTTTAGGTATATGTAAGGTGGGAGGAGTTGGATCTGGATCCGACTCCTCCCCGTGGATTTCATGTTCTGCAGTGAGGACCATCTCGGAAATCCTGTTGGTTTGGAATTCCCACAGAAAGGCAACATTTGGATGACATATGGCGCTTCGTAAGTAAATATGATTTAACTCAAGTGTGGTACACATCATGGATGGGAAGTCTGATAAAAAAACGGTTCAACTTTTACTCCATCACTAGTTCACCGCGTAATTATGACAACCGTGTACACGTTTAATTTCACACATTTAACCACAAAAGTCATACATAAGGCACTTTTTTTCTATTATGATAATAAGGGTGTTTATTGTCATTAGTGTTAGATTTAATGCAGGTTGAATGACTGATATATTAATTAGGTCTTATATTCGATATACAGTTTTGCACCTATAGCACCCAATAGACAGTGGTGTACAACATCATCACTCACTGCGTGTCTGATAATACAACAAACAACAGCAGACATAAACAAGCTCATAAAAACTTAAAGTCATAACCTAAGTATTTGTTAACGTTACAAACATTTTTGCTATTAAATAAACTTTGAGTTCACTGCATGGTAGCTGGTCCAATCTAGTAGCTTGGTCAGGTCACCACCAGCTTGACCAGGTGCCAGCAAGCTTTGGCAGATCTTGCAGACTATCAATGTAATATGTCAATGTAAAAATAGTGGCAGACATGCTCCATTAAGGTGTGACTACAGTAAAATACTATAATTATACAAAATATTTATAGTGTCAAGAGTCAAATCCTTAATTAAATTACTATTGAACTGATCTGATTTTAAAGTGCCCCTATTATGGTTTTCTGAATATTACCTTTCTTGCAGTGTGTAATATAGCTGTCTGTGAATGTAAACGGTCTTCAAAGTTGTAAAGTCGAAAGTGCTCTATAAATAAAGTTATTGTCTCCCAAAAGAAAGAATCACTTCTGAACCTCCTGAACGAGTTGTCAGGAATTCGAATCCCACTGTATTATAGCTACACGTCATGGGGTAAAACATTTGCATAATGTCCACCTATGTTCTCTTACGAGAGGTTCTCTCGTATTGCGTAAGCTAGCTTACGCTACGGGAAAGATTCATCTTTTCTGAGAATTTGAAGCCAAAAAATTATCCTATAATTTTGTATCCATTGTCAACGCAGTTCAGCTGCAGCAGACCATGAGCGGGCTAGCTAGCAGCTCATTGGTTCGCTCACAGAGAACTGCTTAAGCCTATGAGGAGACGCGCCGCCTCCTCGGGGGCCTCGGCCTAGGATCACGCTGAAACCTGATCACTCGAAGTCTGCCTAGCACAGCTGAGGAAAAGACGGCGCTCTCCCGCCGCGGCCGGACCGCCGTCAAAGTTTCGCCCTCTGTTAGTCCCCGCTCACGCGGCTACTACAGCCGTGTACCCCGCCATTACCAAGCCGGTCCCCTTTCCCGCTTGCATGAGCACAAACGCCGTTTTCACGGCGACCCAGAGAAATCTCAAAAAGAGCATAAAAGCCTCCTGTGTAGAAAATGTGCCCACAACACTGTGTTCACTCATACACAAAAGCATTTCAGTTCCCGTGTTTCTCACAGAGCCCACTCTCATAAAGCGGTTCCAACCCGCTCGAGTTTCAGAGTACATAAGCGCGCCCACGAGCCCGTGTGCGCGTCCCACCTCTGCTCACTCTGTTACACGGCCCTTAAACTCCTCTCTGAGTGTAAGTCCAGCTGTCATAAACACTTTGAGCGCGCTCGCGCAGCCCGCTGTGTGCAGCAACGGGGACCATGTAGCCATTCACCCCTTAGCGTTACGCTTCAAAGCGTGGGAAGCTATTCCGGGAATTTCCCAGTGGGTGCTAAACACAATAAGGCTAGGCTATCGCTTACAGTTTCACCGCCGCCCTCCACGTTTTCGAGCGCGGCTAGAAACTATTGTGAACCCAGAAGCAGTGACACTGCTCCGTTCGGAGATAGCAAAACTATTGTGCAAAAGGGCTAAAAGGTGCACCGACAGAAACTTGGACCCACGGTTATGCGAGGTTCCTTCCTTGCTAGTTTTTCTCCAAGAGATGTTGGACAAGGGCAGGTCCCCGTCCACTCTCAAGGTGTATGTGGCAGCCGTCGCAGCGTTCGTTGAACCACGGCGCGGCCAGTCACTGGGCAAAGATGGCTTGGTCATCCGCTTCCTCAGAGGAGCTAGAAGGATGAACCCCCCACGCCCCGCTTCGGTGCCGATTTGGGACCTTTCCATAGTTCTCGAAGCTATGAAAGCCCCTCCATTCGAACCGCTAAACACCGTGGACCTCAAATACCTTTCGCTCAAAACAGTTTTTCTGCTCGCGCTCGCGTCAGTAAAACGTGTGGGAGACCTTCACGCGCTGTCCAGTAGCGCTTCCTGTCTCGAGTTTGGGCCCAATGACTCCTTAGTCGTTCTCAAACCTAGACATGGTTATGTCCCAAAAGCGATTGGTACCCCGTTCAGGGCACAAGTTATTTCCCTATCGGCTCTGCCTGCATCCGATAGCGAATCTGACTCTAATCTCCTGTGTCCGGTCAGGGCCCTGAGATTATACATTACTCGCACTGCTCCGGTCAGACGATCCGAGCAGCTTTTTGTTTCGTTCGGTGGGTGCACCAAGGGGTTGGCCGCCTCGAAACAGACTCTATCCAGATGGATA